AAACCAGCACCACCACCCCCCACAAACCAGCACCACCACCCCCCACAAACCAGCACCACCACCCCCCACAAACCAGCACCACCACCCCCCACAAACCAGCACCACCACCCCCCACAAACCAGCACCACCACCCCCCACAAACCAGCACCACCACCCCCCACAAACCAGCACCACCACCCCCCACAAACCAGCACCACCACCCCCCACAAACCAGCACCACCACCCCCCACAACCAGCACCACCACCCCCCACAAACCAGCACCACCACCCCCCACAAACCAGCACCACCACCCCCCACAAACCAGCACCACCACCCCCCACAAACCAGCACCACCACCCCCCACAAACCAGCACCACCACCCCCCACAAACCAGCACCACCACCCCCCACAAACCAGCACCACCACCCCCCACAAACCAGCACCACCACCCCCCACAAACCAGCACCACCACCCCCCACAAACCAGCACCACCACCCCCCACAAACCAGCACCACCACCCCCCACAAACCAGCACCACCACCCCCCCAAACCAGCACCACCACCCCCACAAACCACACCACCACCCCCCAAAACCAGCACCACCACCCCCCACAAACCAGCACCACCACCCCCCACAAACCAGCACCACCACCCCCCACAAACCAGCACCACCACCCCCCACAAACCAGCACCACCACCCCCCACAAACCAGCACCACCACCCCCCACAAACCAGCACCACCACCCCCCACAAACCAGCACCACCACCCCCCACAAACCAGCACCACCACCCCCCACAAACCAGCACCACCACCCCCCACAAACCAGCACCACCACCCCCCACAAACCAGCACCACCACCCCCCACAAACCAGCACCACCCCCCCCACAAACCACCACAAACACCCACCCCCCCCCCACAAACCCCCCACCACCCCCCCCCCCCCCAAACCAGCACCACCCCCCCCCCCACAAACCAGCACCACCCCCCCCCCCACAAACCAGCACCACCCCCCCCCCCACAACCAGCACCCCCCCCCCACAAACCAGCACCACCCCCCCCCCCACAAACCAGCACCACCCCCCCCCAAACCAGCACCACCCCCCCCCACAAACCAGCACCACCCCCCCCCCACAAACCAGCACCACCCCCCCCACAAACCAGCACCACCCCCCCCCACAAACCAGCACCACACCCCCCACAAACCAGCACCACCCCCCCACAAACCAGCACCACCCCCCCACAAACCAGCACCACCCCCCCACAAACCAGCACCACCCCCCCACAAACCACACCACCCCCCCCACAAACCAGCACCACCCCCCCCCCACAAACCAGCACCCCCCCCCACAAACCAGTACCCCCCCCACAAACCAGCACCCCCCCCCCCACAAACCAGCACCCCCCCCCACAAACCAGCACCCCCCCACAAACCATCACCACCCCCCCACAAACCAGCACCACCCCCCACAAACCAGCACCACCCCCCACAAACCAGCACCACCCCCCACAAACCAGCACCACCCCCCACAAACCAGCACCACCCCCCACAAACCAGCACCACCCCCCACAAACCAGCACCACCCCCCACAAACCAGCACCACCCCCACAAACCAGCACCACTCCCACAAACCAGCACCACCCCCCACAAACCAGCACCACCCCCCACAAACCAGCACCACCCCCCACAAACCAGCACCACCCCCCTCAAACCAGCACCACCCCCTCAAACCAGCACCACCCTCCTCAAACCAGCACCACCCCCCTCAAACCAGCACCACCCCCCCACACACACCAGCACCACCCCCCCCACACACCAGCACCACCCCCCCCCCCACACACCAGCACCACCCCCCCCCACACACACCAGCACCACCCCCCCCCACACACACCAGCACCACCCCCCCACACACACCAGCACCACCCCCCCCCCCACACACACCAGCACCACCCCCCCCCCACACACACACCAGCACCACCCCCCCCCCACACACACCAGCACCACCCCCCCCCACACACACCAGCACCACCCCCCCCCACACACACCAGCACCACCCCCCCCACACACACCAGCACCACCCCCCCCCCCACACACACCAGCACCACCCCCCCCACACATGGTTATGGTTTTGATCTGGAAGAACCTGTGTATCGAATTTACTCAGTTTCTATGATCGAGCCACAGAGATATTACAGGAAAGAGATGGTTGGGTTGACTGCATCTATCTGGACCTATCTGCATCTATCTGGACCTAAAAAAGGCTTTCGACAGAGTTCCACATAAGAGGTTGTTCTGGAAACTGGAAAATATTGGAGGGGTGACAGGTAAGCTTCTAACATGGATGATAAATTTTCTGACTGATAGAAAAATGAGGGCAGTAATCAGAGGCAATGTATCGGAATGGAGAAATGTCACAAGTGGAGTACCACAGGGTTCAGTTCTTGCACCAGTGATGTTTATTGTCTACATAAATGATCTACCAGTTGGTATACAGAATTATATGAACATGTTTGCTGATGATGCTAAGATAATAGGAAGGATAAGAAATTTAGATGACTGTCATGCCCTTCAAGAAGACCTGGACAAAATAAGTATATGGAGCACCACTTGGCAAATGGAATTTAATGTTAATAAATGTCATGGAATGTGGAATAGGAGAACATAGACCCCACACAACCTATATATTATGTGAGAAATCTTTAAAGAATTCTGATAAAGAAAGAGATCTAGGAGTGGTTCTAGATAGAAAACTATCACCCGAGGACCACATAAAGAATATTGTGCAAGGAGCCTATGCAATGCTTTCTAACTTCAGAATTGCATTTAAATACATGGATGGCGAGATACTAAAGAAATTGTTCATGACTTTTGTTAGGCCAAAGCTAGAATATGCAGCTGTTGTGTGGTGCCCATATCTTAAGAAGCACATCAACAAACTGGAAAAGGTGCAAAGACATGCTACTAAGTGGCTCCCAGAACTGAAGGGTAAGAGCTACGAGGAGAGGTTAGAAGCATTAACCATGCCAAAACTAGAAGACAGAAGAAAAAGAGGTGATATGATCACTGCGTACAAAATAGTAACAGGAATTGATAAAATCGACAGGGAAGATTTCCTGAGACCTGGCACTTCAAGAACAAGAGGTCATAGATTTAAACTAGCTAAACACAGATGCCGAAGAAATATAAGAAAATTCACCTTCGCAAATAGAGTGGTAGACGGTTGGAACAAGTTAAGTGAGAAGGTGGTAGAGGCCAAGACCGTCAGTAGTTTCAAAGCGTTATATGACAGAGTGCTGGGAAGACGGGACACCACGAGCGTAGCTCTCATCCTGTAACTACACTTAGGTAATTACACTTAGGTAATTACACAAACCAGCACCATCCTCCCCCTCCACAAACCAGCACCATCCTCCCCCCCCACAAACCAGCACCATCCTCCCCCCTACAAACCAGCACCATCCTCCCCCCTACAAACCAGCACCATCCTCCCCCCTACAAACCAGCACCACCCCCCCCCCCCACAAACCAGCACCACCCCACTCAAATCAATACCCCCCCCTCCCAAAACACCACCCTTCTAACACTACCACTCCGTTACCTGGTTGATGGGGTTCTGGGAGTTCTTCTTCTCCCCAAGCCCGTCCTGAGGCCAGGCTCAACTTGTGAGAGTTTGGTTCACCAGGCTGTTGCTTGGAGCGGCCCGCAGGCCCACATACCCACCACAGCCCGGTTGGTCCGGAACGGAACGTCTTTTAGAAAACAGTCTAGTTTTCTCCTGAAGATGTTCACGGTTGTTCCGGCAATATTTCTGATGCTCGCTGGGAGGACGTTGAACAGCCGCGACCTCATGATGATTATACAGTACAGTGTTCTCTGATTGTGCCTATGGCACCTCTGCTGTACCTCAAGGTACAGTCCTTGCACCGCTACTGTTCCTTATTCTCATATCTGATATAGACAAAAATACACGTCACAGCTTCGTGTCGTCCTTTGCAGATTACACAAAAATCAGCATGAAAATTACCTCTGCTGAAGACATTGAAAAACTACAAGCAGATGTTAACAAAGTTTTCGATTGAGCAGCAGAAAATTACATGTTTAACAGTGATAAATTTCAGGTACTCGGGTACGGCAAAATTGAGGATCTGAAACATAATACAGGGTACAAAACACAATCGAATCTTCCCATAGTAGAAAAACAGTATGTCAAGGATTTGGGAATAATGATGTCTGACGATCTAACATTTAGGGAACATAACCAAGCAAATATCGCGTCAGCCAGAAAAATGACCGGATGGATTACGAGAACTTTCAAATCGAGGATCCCATCACAATGGTTGTACTCTTCAAGTCACTTGTGTTGTCCTGTCTCGAGTACTGCTCAGTACTCAATTCCCCCTTCAGAGCAGGAGAGATTGCTGAAATAGAGGGAATACAGAGAACATATACGGCACGCATAGAAGAGATAAAACACCTAAGTTATTGGGAGTGTCTCAAAGCTCTCCAAATGTACTCTCTAGAAAGGAGACGAGAGAGAGATACCAAATAATATACACATGGAAAATACTGGAGGGCCAGGTCCCAAATCTACACAGTAAAATAACAACATACTGGAGTGAACGATATGGAAGAAAATGCAAGATAGAACCAATGAAGAGCAGAGGTGCCATAGGCACAATCAGAGAGCACTGCATGAACATCAGAGGTCCGCGGTTGTTCAACGTCCTCACAGTATGTAATAGTCAACAAAACAGTCAGAGACGGCTGCGGGATATTGATTCTTGCAATCATCAACTGATATCATGCCATTTTTGTCAGCAATTTTTTTTTTATCTGCCTGACTTTCAAGATGAAGTGGAAGACTGGAGAATTCTCAATCCACCCCTGACTGACCATTAGAAGGTGCAGTCCTCTACTTGAAGAAATCATCATCAAAGCTATACTGTACTTGATATTAAATAAATGTCACTAAAATCAATATTGAGCCTTTCATCTACACAGTGCATTGTTTACATTTCAGGGAACGAAGGAACTGGGAGAGGCGCTCAAGACCCCAGGTGTGGTTGGAGAGTTGTGCAAGGTGATGGGGACATCTTCGGATCCCCAGGTAAGACAGTATGCAGCAGTCATCCTTCGTAAGAGACTTGGAAAGGCTCGTCATTGGACCAAACTGGAAGTTGATGTTAAAAATGGGTAAGTTTCCCAAGGAAAATACTGTAGTGTTGTTTTCTAGTTTTCATTATACAGTATTTGCTTTCCTTAATACTTGATTATTTATAATTTTATTGAGAGTTTGAAGAGAACTTAGTAAATTGAATAGTCAATTTGCAATGCATGCATTATATAACTAATTGCTGTTGTATCCAATGCTTAGGTGGTACAGTAATGTTTATATTGTTACTATATCCTGTCAAATATTTTTCTAATTTCATGACTTGCAAGGAAATACTGTTGAATTTTCCACATTGTACATTTATAACATTTCTGTTTTGCTGCACATGAATAAAAACTTATATAGGGGATTTAAAAACTATTTTTATAATTTAAAGACAGTACCTTATAACTTTAGTGAAATATTGGCCCATACGAGACAGCTCCCATTGATCAATATACAGTGGAACCTCTGTACTCGACCGACCTCTACTCGAACAATTTGGCACTCGAATGCTGTGTTCATGTTCGATAGTCGACTGTTTGTTCAGCACTCAAACATAAACACGTGTCCTAGACGAGTCGGTTTACCAGTTTTTGTCATTCAGTGCATAACACCACTAGACTTCTCTAAACTATCTTGTGTTTTCTTGACTATTTTGGATATTCTTAGTGTAAATAAGTAACCGTGGCACCTAAGTTAGTTATAAGAGCCAAGCAAAAAGAAAATTACATAGAACCACAATTGCGATGAAAAAAGAATTCATAGAAAAATATGATTGGTGCCCGCGTGTCTGTTTTTGCTCTCAAGTTTGAGTGCCTTCAAGAACTATTTGGCTCTAGGGTCCCCTTATTATCTTACGTGTTTTCAACTATTTACTCTCGCGGTTACTCTTGCGTCTTCTTTACTCTCGCATTCTAAATTTTCATTCATTCTTCATTTCTAAACTCTTACTCACTTCCTCTGACGAACTTGTTAGCAATGAATGAAATGTGTGCATCTTTTATTGTTTTCTTGAAAAAAATTGTCCTGACAAAGCTGTGATAATGTTAGAGGACTCCCCATGCCAAAGAATAATATCTCTTCCTCTGCCTCACCACCTTACACATATTCAATCAACTCTTCTAATTGCAAGTAAAGTGTATACAGTATTTGCATTTATTTAATTCATTTATTGTATTAACACTTTCCGGCTATGTTTTATATTTGGCGCTATTCTATCTTACGCTTTGTTGATCTTTTTTTACCTACGGGCTCATAGAACATTCTATTGCGAACACATTGACACAAAAATGAATGACGTACATAGAATAATAATGTCATGAGAGTGAAATAAGTATAAACTTTCAAAGCGCCGTGCGTCGTCCCGTTACTGATACCGGGTAACAATTTCACCACTTCCCACACTCTTGCGGGCTGGCCGCAATCATTATTCTACTCTTACATTCATATCACCGTGTTGGGAATTTCATTGTGAGTCCATTGATACCAAAATTAACGCTGTAGGACAAGTGTGGAGGTGATAACAATCCCAAGAGTAAAAACATTTAGTTGCTGTTGGGCGCTCACGGCGAGTCATCTTCGCTGTTATTTATTTGGTGCTGGTATCCCTATACGTTTCGTGACTTTTTTTTACTGATGTTCTTCTAGAGAATTTTATTGCGAACACGTTGGTACCAAAATGAAATACGTAGCTCGAGAACTAAGGTCAGGAGAGTAAAAAGAGTATACACATTTTTGTTTTTACGCTAACGCGGCAAAATGCCGGGAGCACTTACGGTTGTTTTTTTTACATTCGCCTGGAGCCGGAAAGTGTTAATATATTTGTGGTCTGGAATGGATTAATCCAATTTACATGGGAAAAAATTGTTCAGTACTCGAACAGATCGGCACTCGACTGGCCTTCACCAATTAACACTGTGCGGCCCGGCGTGTGCGCCTCAGGCCACCCCAAGGTCGGCCTGGCATTTTCCGTGAGCACGCACCCACACAAAAATGTGTATACTCTTTACAGTTTTATCACCTCAAGTTTCGTGCTGTCTTTCATTTTGGTATCAAATTGCTCGCAATAGAATTCTCTAAAGGGGTATATGCATACAAGGTAACAAAAAAAATGTTGTGTTCCCCGCAGCAAACCCGAAAATCATTTGTTTGGCCGCTTACCCGTGAGCGCGCAACCGCACTAAAGTGTGTGTGTGTGTGTAAACTTTTCACTTTTCTCACCTTAATTTTCTTGCTATGTCGTTCATTTTGGTTTAAAATTGTTGCCAATAAAATTCTCTAAAATGATCTGTGCATATAAAGTCAAATGGTCCAGCGTGCCACCCGCAGCACACCCAAAGTTTGGCCGAGTTTTACCCGTGAGCTCGTACCCATCGCCCTGCACTCAAATATTTATACCCTTTTCAGTTCTGTTGACTCAATTTTCGTGCTACGTCGTTCATTTTGGTATTAAATTGTTTGCAGTCGAAAGGCGCACATTTTGGAACTATAGGTAGTCCCATAATAACCAGAGAATATATGGAATTTTAACAATTTTAATTTTGGACGCTCATCACCACACGGGTATTTATAATCTTTCCAGTGTTCTGACCTCAATTGTCATGCTATGTCGTTCATTTTTGTGTTAAATTGTTTGCAATCTAAAGGTGCGCATTTTTAAACTAATCACATAATGATCTGGGGGGGGGGGATGAAATTTTAACATATTTTGATTTTGGACGCAATATGCATCCCTGCCGGACATCCGTAGTTATTTATGGACGCATTATCCGTCTCTGCCCACCTAAAATGTTAAGTTTGTGTACCGAGGTTTCGTTGTAGTAGTAGTCGGGGTTCATTTTCGACTTGATCAAGAATTCTGGATTTGAATCCTGGGTGGGATAGGAATGTTGGGCACATTCACCTAATGTTCCTGTTCACCTAGCAGTAAGTAGGTACTCAGGAGTTAGCTTGTTGTGGGGTTGCATCCTGGGGAGGGTCAGTAATTTATCCTTTGTGGGGAGGGGGCCTTGATAGAAGGCTAACATGTATATATACTCTGACTGCCTGTCCCCCCACACAATGAATTATTATTATAAATAGGAGCAGCCTCATATGGACCAATAGGCCTTTTGTAGTTCCTTTATTATTATGTTTAAATGGTTGGTTAACTTGGTTTACTTCATTGCAACCATATAGAGTTGAGAAAACCACATCAACATCATTGGTATACGAATCATTTAATAATGACGGAATTTTATGTAATGACGATTACCGCATTTGTGTAGTAACACTTGTGATGATAACCACATTCACATATTATTAAGGTAACCATGAAACTATAGCAGGATTTTTTCATGTCTCGAGGTACATTATATCGATATTAACATCGTGTGTAAAGCCCAGACAAATCAACATTAACATACAATTGCAATACATTAAGCAACCAGTAAAGTATTTCTATTAGCACATACAGTATGGTATTGACAATAACAATCATTTCTGTATTAATATCTACTATTTTCTTCTCAGCATTAAAGAGGGTGTCTTACAAGCGCTGGTAAGGGAACCAGAAAATAGTGTGCGGAATGCCATTGCACAGTTTGTGGGCGTGATTGCACGCCATGAGTTACAAGCAGGTAACTGGCCGGCACTTTTGCAATTCATTCAACAAATGGTCCAGTCGCAAAATGTGCAGGAGAGACAGGTATGTATAAATAATGCTTTCTGTATTTAATTTTATTATATTGTACTGTACAAAATATTACCAACGAATCATACAATATCAACACACTATATTAGCAAACCTTCTTTCCTTTAAGTCTATTAAAGATTAAGTACATGAAAGATTAAAGGATATGATGTTTAAAATAAAGTGAAAACTTACATTTTGATGGCACACATTATGCTTCCTTGATTCATAAATCGTCCAAGTGGGTTGTACCTAGCATGTTAATGATTGAGCTTCGTGTAAGCCATGCTGCCTGCACCTTCTCAGGGGTTGTGATTGATTTAGGAATACAGTACTGTATACTGATATTTGGTGCTGCAACTTGCAGAGGATATTGAAAATAACCCCGATCATGGAGCAGAACAGGAGAATGTTGCAATCATGGATAAAAGTTACATCTGCTCTGAAAATTCATGAATACATTTTTCAAGAATTTTTTTTATCACAGAGATGGCAATCATTTTCCAAATATTTTGATGATGATCACATAGACTTGAACAATGGTTCTCATCCTTTGGTATGAATACCTTATGTTGAGAACCCCTTACTTTACAACTACGTATATCCCACCATAAACCCCTTACTTTACAACTACGTATATCCCACTATAAACCCCTTACTTTACAACTACGTATATCCCACCATAAATCCCTTACTTTACAACTACGTATATCCCACCATAAACCCCTTACTTTACAACTACGTATATCCCACCATAAACCCCTTACTTTACAACTACGTATATCCCACCATAAACCCCTGCTTTAGAACGACATATCCAACATAAACCCCTTCCCTGCTTTACAACAACATATATCCCAACATAAACCCCCTCCCTGCTTTACAACAACATATATCCCAACATAAACCCCCTCCCTGCTTTACAACAACATATATCCCAACATAAACCCCCTCCCTGCTTTACAACAACATATATCCCAACATAAACCCCCTCCCTGCTTTACAACAACATATATCCCAACATAAACCCCCTCCCTGCTTTACAACAACATATATCCCAACATAAACCCCCTGCTTTACAGCAACATATATCCCAACTTGAACCCTCTGCTTTACAACAACATATATCCCAACATAAACCCCCTGCATTACAACAACATATATCCCAACTTGAACCCCCTGCTTTACAGCAACATATATCCCAACTTGAACCCCCTGCTTTACAACAACATATATCCCAACATAAACCCCCTGCTTTACAACAACATATATCCCAACATAAACCCCCTGCTTTACAACAACATATATCCCAACTTGAACCCCCTGCTTTACAGCAACATATATCCCAACTTGAACCCTCTGCTTTACAGCAACATATATCCCTACTTGAACCCTCTGCTTTACAGCAACATATATCCCTACTTGAACCCCCCTGCTTTACAGCAACATATATCCCAACTTGAACCCCCTGTTTTACAACAACATATATCCCAACTTAAACCCCTCTGCTCTACAGCAACATTTATCCCAACTTGAACCCCCTGCTATACAACAACATATATCCCAACCTTAACCCCCTGCTTTACAACAACATATATCCCAACCTTAACCCCCCTGCTTTACAACAACATATATCCCAACCTTAACCTCCTGCTTTACAACAACATATATCCCAACCTTAACCCCCTGCTTTACAACAATGTAGAGCTCTAACAGTATAATTGACTTTCCGATCCTTTTCGGGGGGAGCCCCATTGGCTCCCCGGAGCTATCCAGGCTGATATGTATTAGATTTCTGGCATCAGTCAATGTGCATGTTCTTTCCTACCAGAGACCATGAGCCAGAACCTGGCCCCCCCTCAGAGAGGCACGAGGAGCAATGAGCTCTAGAAACTCGTATGTGGTTGGGAGCATTCTGTGTCTGCCTTCGACTGGGTCTGGCACCCAGAAAGGTAGGCGCCCCAAAACAAACCCCTAGTCTGGTGAAAATATTGCTACCGAAAGCCAAACTAGTGGACAGAACCCCCCAAACGAAAATTTGCAAACGAGCATCACATTGCACTGCCGTTGTCTGCGCAACCTACCCCCTCCCCGGGAGGGGAAAGGGTGAGCCCCAGACCCTCGTGCTGGCGATCCAACTGTCAGTTCTTGGCTGATGTGATATTGGCAGGTTATGCGCCTCTGGCTCCTGCTTTGGTTTCAGTTTCTGTGCCTTGGGTGTGGTCTGATACAACAGGTGGTGTGTGAGCCAGGAGTAATATTCTATGGTACTCGGGCTGCATGTGCCTAGGGTTTCCTTCGCTAGGTGCCTAGTTAGTACTGTCCTTGGGGCCACCTTCAACAAGTTGCCTTGTGATGTACCTCTGCTGTGTCTTTTACTGCTCGGTAATTGGCCACCCTTGCGGTCGGCTGGATTTTTTGTTGCTGTTGTTTGCCTCTGGGAAAGGGGTAGTTTTCATCACTGGTAGGTATGCGGGATACTGCACAGCTAGTTTTCACCTATTATAGCAACCGGCTCTGTTCCGCTTGGGTACGTTGTCCTCTTGTGGGGTTTTTCTTTTGTTTTTGTTTTCCTGCCTTATGGGGGCATTTGCATTAGTTGGTTGCCCCCTATCTAATTATTGGGCATATATAACCATATCAGTCTTCTTGGTGGTACCCTCTGCTAGGCCCCAGTGAGTGGGCATGTCCTGGAGGTTCAGCTTTTAGAAGTTTGATCGGTAGTTAGGGCGCCGGTTCACAGTACCCTGCCTGGGCTTCCCTTCGTTTGATACCAAGGCTGAGGGCCCTGGGAAACGCTGAGGGGCCTCTGTGGTTCAATGGATGCAACCCTAGCTTCGTGCAAGGTTGATGGTTGCTCTGTCACCTTGTCTCAGGGTGACAGTAACCGGTTTTGCCTCCGCCATGCTGCCTGTCGGGTCGGTGATTCTTTTGACCTGGAGTTGTGCGATGTTTGTTCTTTGTAGGTGCTCCAGTTCACCCAAGCTACTGAACATAATATGAGGGTGCAGGCAGCAGACACGTTGCATGCTCAGTTTAGGTTGCTGCAACGCGATATGTTTGTTGCTTCCAGACTGCCCCGTGTTGGTTATTGGGACTCGGATTGGCTTGAGTTGGATGTGGAGGAGCTTGGAGCTGCCTCTGGGTCTGGTGCGTTGCCCTCGGCGGTGCGTGCGTCGTCTGCATTGTTGAAGCTGTATGCACACTCCTGCAGGATGTGGTTTTGCAGTATTTTGCTTCTCGGCTCGCGTGTTGGCAGGCGGTGCTTGCTTTTTCCTTGGAATCTGCTTAGGCCCTGGCTCTCGGGTTGTCTTTGCATTTTTGCCCGTTGCTGTTTGCAGAGTGTGCGGTTGTGCAGTATCTGCAGGCAGCTTCGGCTAGTTGCCGTCCTATGTCGGACTTGTTTGTCCTCCAGGTGGTCGTGGGGGGCCTTCCCAGAAGGGTTGTGCCAGGGCTTGGGATTCTTCCTGTCGTGGTAGGCTAGTTGTGCCAGATTCGGTGCAGGTGCAGCCTTTGATACCGTCGTGTTTCTGGTCGGCGCAGGGATCGCCCTATGCGCTGCTTAGGTTCTCGTTTGGTGCGTTGCCCCCTTCCGTGGTTCGTCCTTTTAACAAGGCGATGGGGGAGGCTCGCTCTGTTTGCTCGCGCCTGGTCCCAGAATTTGTTTGGCTATTGTGTTGTTTCATGTGGCGTGCGGTGGCATTGGGTGGCTCCTCCTTCGGGGGCTTCAGGGCTGGCAGGGCAGGCCTCTTCTGTGCTCTGTCGGGTCACCTCGGAGTGGGTTTGCTTGGGCGTGGTCGAAATGACCTTGTGGCTCAGGTGGGGTTCCCACCTGTTTCCAATCGCGAAACAGGACTGTGCGGACCTCCGGTTCATTCTGGACTTGTCCAGTCTGAACCTGTGGGTTTATTTTCCCTCCTTTCGGATGACTACTCTGTCCCAGGTTCATTTTCTGTTCGAGCCGGACGCTTGGATGGTATCCCTGGACCTCAAGGACGCACATTGGCACATCCCTATTTATCTGAAGTTCAGGGATTAGCTAGGTTTTGTTGTGGGGGGCGTCAACGTTACCGCTTTCATTGCTTTCCATTCGACTTGAACCTGGCGCCTTGCATTTTCACACCCAATACTCGGGTCGTGGTGACTCGCCTGCATCTGTTAGGTGATCGGGTTCTGGCCTACATCGACGACTGGCTGGTTTGGGCTCCCAGCCAGTCCGTGTGTGTGCTCACCAGGGATTTGGTTCTTTCCTAGTTCGCCGGGTTCGGGTTCTTGGTGAACCGGTGGAAGTTCCTTCTGGTTCCCTCTCAGGTTCGGTCTTGGTTGGGTCTTGGTTGGATCTTGTGTGGGTCTTGTGTGGGATGCTCGGACTGCTTCCTTGTGTCTTGCCCAGGCGACTGTGTTTTGCTTGCGTTCCCGCCTTCATCTGTTTCTGAGGGGCTCCCTGGTCACTCGGCGGTTGCTCGAGGGTTTGTGCGGGAGCCTGAACTTTGCCATGATGGTCTACCTGCCGGGTCTGGTGTGGCTTCGTCTGGTTCCTTCGGGGACATCCCTTCCACCTCTCGCGACCGCTGGGTTTTGCCTCCAGGGGCTTTGTGTCGATTTCTGCATCGCCGACTCTCTCTTTGGGTTTTTTGGGATTCAGGGCCTTCGTGCCTACCTGAGCCCTAGCTTGATGTATTGATGGATGCGTTGTCTCTTGGCTGGGGCTTTGTGACCAGTGCTCACCAGGCTGGCCAGGGACGGTGGGGTCCATCTTACTATTGCGCTCACAGTGCGGTGTGGGAGCCTGCGGCTGTGTGGATGTGTCTCCAGAGGATTTGGGTCGCTCGTGAATGGAGGATCTGGCTCCATTTGGACTGCTTCCTGATGGTTCATTGCCTGAACCGAAGGGGGTTCGATGCGCTCCTTGGCTCTTTGGGGCTGGTCGCTTCAGGTAACTCGTCTGCTGAGTTCTCGGGATTTGGCTCTTCTGGCGGTTCACGTTCGGGGGAGGGGGGTGTCCAATATCCTGGCGGACGGCCTGTCCCAGTTCATTCCCCTGTCCATGGATTAGACGGTCAACGCCAACTTGTTCAGTTGGCTCTTCCGGACGTTCGGGCTTCCAGAAGTGGATCTCTTCGCATCAGCATAGCTGAGGCATCTCCAGGTATACGTGGCGCCATTCCCCGACTGTGAGGCTGTCGGGGTTGACCCCTTCAGACAGGACTGGCCGAGGTGGGGTTACCTGTACTTATTTCCCTCGATTCAGCTGTTGCTCCAGGTCCTGGCCCGCTTGGAGACTTACCAGGGGAAAGTTGCCCTTCTGGCCCTTTGGTGGCTGGCCCATCCTTGATTTCTGGCACTGCTTGCTTGGTGTCCAAACCCGAGGGTCTTCCCATGGCTTCGCTTCTTTCAGCAGATCGGTCCAACCCAGTAAGAGGCTGGTTTGTTCTCCTCGAGTCTTCACGTCTGGAATTTCTGACTCGAGTCTATCATCACTTGTATGGGGAGCAGGTGGCTTCGTTGTTGGTCTCCCACCTGCATGCTTCATCTTGGCGGCAGTATGAAGTTTCCTGGCGGTCCTTTCGTTTTTTCCTATCACTGCATAGATGTACTTCGGTCTCTAGTAGGGGTGTCTTGTCCTTCCATTCATGGTTGTTCCAGGACCGTCATCTTATGCAGAATACTGTTGTCTTGTATTGTGCAGAGCTGGCAGAGCCATTCCAGCTTGCGTTTGGTATTGATATTACTTCTTCCGCGTTCAGCAAGCTGTCGTTCACAGGGTTAAGTCTAGTAACCCTGCGATTTATCCTCGTGCCCCACGACGTTCATAAGTTTGATGCTTTGGTTGCCGTTTTTGGCAACATGTCTTGGGTTGACATTTGGGTACAGGGCTTTTGAAGGTCGAACAGGGTTCCTGGTTGCTTGCTACCTTGTCCATGTCTCTGAACCTGGTAGGGCCTGTGTTGCAGCCAGTTGTCTTGACTTCACTCTTCAACGCGAAGACTGACCGCTTCCCTGGTAAGTCCTTGTGTTTGGGTAGTTAGCTCCAGGGAATCGATTGGGCTTTCCTCAGAAAACCAGCATTGAATGTAATGAAATGCCATTTTCTGGGCGAGTCCCGGAGGCTCCCAGACATCCCTCCCTCCCTCCAGTCAGCGGTGTTTTTTGCATGTTTTTGACATCTAGCCTAAGAACTGACAGTTTGATCACCAGTGCGAGAGTCTGGGGGGAGGGGGGGCTTGTGCAGACAACAGCGCGACTGTGTGATGTCATGCTCGTTTGCTAATTTTAGTTTGGGGGAGTTCTATCCACTCATTCGACTTTCGGTAGCAATACTGTATTTTCACCAGAATTGGGGTTTGTTTTGGGGCACCTACCTTTTTGGGTGCCAGACCTGGTTGATGGCAGACATAGAATGATCCCAACCACATAGGGATATCTATAGGCCATTGCTTCTCGTGCCTCTCTGAGGGGGGCCAGGTTCTGGCTCGTGGTTCCCGGTTTCCAAGAACTCAATGCACATTGACTGATGCCAGAAAGCTAATATATCCATATCAGCCTGGATAACTCCGGGGAGCCTCTGAGACTCTCCCAGAAAATGGCGTTTCATTACTTTCAACGCTGTTTTTTTTTCTACTGTAGAGCGATCATTTGCAAATATTTCAATATAAAAAAATTGGTTTTGTAAACAATATTAATGTAAAATATAAATGCTTGATAATGCTCTGTAAACCCACTCAGTATGTTAAGACATTTTTGACACAAGATTTGTTTGTTATATATTTGTAGAAATGGTTGATATTTCCTTTTTATTTCTCGATTAAACCCTTAATATTTATTATCACTGGGTATTGTACGGTTTTTATTTAGTAAACTCACAATGTTATCGATATTATAAGTGAGTGTTCATTTCAGCTTGGAGTGTACGTAGTTAGTGTGGTGAGTGGGGTGGCAGGTGAGCAACTGATGCCTCATCTGCGGCACCTCCTCCACTTCTTCTCGGCCACCCTCGACGACACAGCATCCCCGACAGCCTTTCACACCATTCAAGCCCTCACCAACTTTGCACCTCTTGTTGACCAAGATAATATAGTAAGGCTGATAAACAAATTGTTGAACGTTCTTCAAAAACTTGGCTGGATGAAAAGTTTAGCTAATTTGATATGCTTGGCTTTTGTAATAGAATTGTAGCTTATTCCATTAAACTGTAATAGTTCATGTATTTCCTGCAAGCTATATTACTCCTAATTCAAATAATATATTATTTCACTACAGTAATGGCTAAGGAAAAAACAGGCTATAGCGTTAGCTTTGTCAACAATTTACAAATTTACTTTTCCATGTTCACCAAATTTTCATTATGTAAATAAATGAACCTTGATTTCTTAAGTCTGTAAATTATTACTTTTCAGACTGAATTCCAATCTCTCTTGCCTAAAGTTCTGGAGGCAATAAAGGCACTCCTGACTCGTGATGAGGACCAGGCAGCAGAAGCCATGGAATTATTTGATGTTCTGGCAGAGTGTGAGGTAAGACAAAACACTGTTGATATGGTGTTGGAAGAGGATTCTTCGTATATGTGTGTGTAATTACCTAAGTGTAGTTACAGGATGAGAACTACGCTCGTGGTGTCCCGTCTTCCCAGCACTCTTTGTCATATAACGCTTTGAAACTACTGACGGTTTTGGCCTCCACCACCACCTCACCTAACTTGTTCCAACCATCTACCACTCTGTTTGCGAAAGTGAACTTTCTTATATTTCTTCGGCATCTTTGTTTAGTTAGTTTAAATCTATGACCTCTTATTCTTGAAGTTCCAGGTCTCGGGAACTCTTCCCTATCAATTTTATCGATTCCTGTTATTATTTTGTACGTAGTGATCATATCACCTCTTTTTCTTGTGTCTTCTAGTTTTGGCATATTTAATGCCTCTAACCTCTCCTCGTGGCTCTTGCCCTTCAGTTCTGGGAGCCACTTGGTAGCATGTGTTTGCACCTTTTCCAGTTTGTTGATGTTGTTCTTAACCCTTAAGTCGCTAAGGGCTTTTTGGCCTGCAACACCGCCAGGCGCAAAAAAAAAAAAAAAAAAAATCCACAAAATTTTGTCTTCTTATAAACATGTTTATTTGTGTTTCCTGATAATTTTGTAACTAGCGTCAAATATTGTTATTTGCTTAGCTAAATGAACTAGAGGGTTCAGTTCCTGAACCGATTATGTGCCTCTGTAATCCTTTACACCACCGCCCACGGGATGGGTATGGGGTGCATAATAAAGAAAGAAATTGAATCCTGAGCACAGGAAAAATATATATAAAAAATTATACTTACCAATGACATAAATGAGCCGAGAACTTGGCCGATGACGTCACAGATTTTCGTCGCTCGAGTGAGAGTGTCAGGCGCGGCTTTGAAGAAGCCCGAGTTGCTGCGAATTTATTTTTGCGGCATTATTTACAGTATCTATGCGTATTTTACAACCATTTTTTTTTACTGATGTGGTGCAGTATGTGGTCACTTAATGTTTTATTATAATACAACTGTTATAAACTTAACACTTTCGCGCTCTCCGCAAAGGTCACTCAGCCAACCGAATGTGCGCGCTGCGTTTTTATCGCTTAAGCGTAAAAACAAAAATGTGTATACTCTTTTTACTCTTCTGACCTTAGTTCTCATGCTACGTATTTCATTTTGGTACCAACGTGTTCGCAATAAAATTCTCTAGAAGAACATCAGTAAAATAAGTCACGAAACATATAGGGATACCAGCACCAAATAAATAACTACGTAGATGACTCGCCGTGAGCGCCCATCAGCAACAAAATGTTTTTACTCTTGGGATTGTAATCACCTCCACACTTGCTCTACAGCGTTAATTTTGGTATCAATGGACTCGCAATGAAATTCCCAACACGGTGATATGAATATAAGCGTAGAATAATGATGTAGCTCGCCCGCAAGAGTGTGGGAAGTGGTGAAATTGTTACCCGGTATCGGTGACGGGACGACGCACGGCGCTTTGAAAGTTTATACTTATTTCACTCTCATGACATTAATTTTCTATGTACGTCATTCATTTTTATGTCAATGTGTTCGCAATAGAATGTTCTATGTGCCCATAGGTAAAAAATATCAACAAAGCGTAAGTTAGAATAGTGACAAATATAAAACAACGCTGGAACATATCAGTGAGCGTCAAACACACGAAATATTTTTACTTTTGTTATGTTTGTCAAGTTTATACTTGTTGCACACAGTTATTTTTGGTTGTAAATTGATCGGAATAAAATTCCCTAAACAGACATATGCATATAATACATGATATGGGGGAAGAATTACCAGTATAAACGGCTAAAGTCACCCACCTGCAACCCGTTTGGGACAAAATACCATTTGATCGAAGTTATCCACACCTTTCATGAACTTATTGTACCATGCAGCCTAGTGGTGAGAAAGAGAGCCTCATAGCGCGCAGTTTGAAACAAACCCAAAGTAAATCGGATAAAAATTGAATTTTATACAAATATTTTAAAAGTAGACATAACTTTATGTCCACTATGCGTTTACGTTAGACGAAACCGAACGCGCCGGCGCGTCCAGATAGCGCGAAAGTGTTAATATACAGTGCTGTCACATTTTAGTGTCATTTATGTGCACAAAAAGGTCTTATTTTTCAGGAAATATAAAAATTTTTATGAATTGTTTTCACTATATACACTCAATATTTACACTTTATTGCACCAGTATTAGACATTTAGAAGTCCTTGAGACTGTGATAACGGTCAAAACATTTGACAGTACAAAGTGTGATGCATCAAATGAACAAATCCACCAGGGCCGTGATGAGGATTCGAACCTACATCCGAGAGGATCCCAGACGCACCTTAATCGACTGTGCTTTCTGTGTGATTTATTGTGATTTGTGTCATGAAGTAAGAGTGAAGAGGTATAACAGCTTATTGACAGAGCCCGGGTGCACAGGGAATTGTGTAAAACCTTGATTTGTGTCTCGGAGAGCAGGATCCATGTGAGGGCAGATGAACTCCCGGTTGCAATTATTTTGAGTGTCGTGGCACAGTGGATTAAGGCACGTCTGGGATCCTCTCGGATGTACGTTAGAACCCTCATCATGGCCCTTGTTGATTTGATCAGTAATTCCTCTTTGTCAATTTGGTCGATTCCTGTTAATATTTTGTAAGTGGTGATATATCGCCTTATTTTGTTTGATCTTCTAGTTTTGGCATGTTTAATGCTTCTAGTGTCTCTACGTAACTTTTGTTTTTCAGTACCGAAAGCCGTTTTGTAGCATGCCGTTGCACTTTTTCCAGTTTATTGATGTGTTTCTTGAAATTTGGGCACTGTACAACTGCTGTATATTAGTTTTGGTCACATAAAAATCATGAACAGTTCCTTAAGTATTTCACCATCCATACAGTGTAATTAAAAACAAGTGTGAATCTGGAAAGCGACGCATGCGCTCCTCGCACAATGTTGTGTGTGTGTTCCTCTGGCGACAGTTTACTATCCAAAACCACCCCTAAGTCTTTTTCTTTATTAGAGTTCTGTAATTCCTGTCTACATAAGTTGTAAGTTGTTTGTCTCCTATTTTCTCTGATTCCACATTCCATAACATGGCATTTATGTACATTGAATTCCATTTGCCACTTGATGTTCGATGCACCTGTTTTATCTAGATCAGCTTGAAGGGTATTACAATCATTGGCATCTCCTATCTTCCCCAGTATCTTAGCATCATCTGCAAACATATTCATATAATTCTGTATTAAATCATTTATGTAGATAATGAACATTACTGGTGAAAGAACTGAACCCTGTGGTACTCTGCTAGTAATACTAACAAGATACATTGTGTCTGATTACTGCTCTCATCTGTCTGTCAGAAAATTCTTCATCCATGTCAGAAGTCTTCCTGTCACCCCTCCAGCATGTTCCAGTTTCCAGAACAGCCTGTTGTGTGGGGGACTATCAAATCCTTTTTTAGGTCCAGATACACAGTCAACCCAACCACCTTTTTCCTGTAGTATCTCTGTGGCTCTATCATAAAAACTAAGTAGATTTTAATACACAGAATCTTCCTGTTTGAAAACTATGTCTTGTGTTATTATTTTGTTGTCCTAGGTGTTCAACCCATTTGGCTTTAACTATTTTTTTTTTAGTGTTTTGACTACCACACTTGCCTATAATAGTGATACAAGTCTATAATTTAGAGGTTACTCTCGACTATCAGTTTTATAGATTGGTCCTATGTTTGCCTTTTACCATATATCTGCTAAGATTCCTGTGCACAAGGGTATCTGGAATATTAATGTGGAATGCTCAGCTCTGGTGCACGTTTATGCAGCACCCAAGATGAAAGTCCATAAATTAGATAAATTAGATATTAATTTCTCTTGAGAAGTCGAGCTTAATTCATAGGTTATGAACAAATCCACAAGGGCCGTGACGAGGATTCGAACCTGCGTCCGAAAGCATCCCAGACGCTATCTTAATCGACTGAGTTACGACAGAGACAAATTTATTAATTTCTAATATTAATTTCTCTCTCATTGTTTGTAGGTGGCCCTACTAGTTCCACACCTGCGTCCTGTCATCCAGATGTGCTTGGATGTTAGTGGGAACGCTTCTCTAGGAGAAACGGTTCGTGTAAAAGCAATCACCTTCCTTGGGTATATAACCAGACTTAAGAAGAAGGTAAGACCACATTTAAATGTGTATTTTATATGGATAATACTGTTTATCGATTTTGTCTTTAATTTCCATTTATTGGATAAATGGCTTCTCTCAGTTTTCAAAGGAATGTTACAAAATAAAGTATGTAATTTAGTGAATTTAAGAGTCATCCTCCTCATTTGTCCCAACTAGATGTCGTCGTGAAATAGCAGTGTTTTGTAGTCAACTTACAGAAGTTTTATGAATTTTTAAATATTATTATTAATAATTTTATCACTTTTCTACATGAATTGGCTCTTCATCTGTCAATAATATTTTTTTCAGTACATACTGAAGAACAAACTTGTGGTACCCTTAGTGTCGGTGATGTTTGGTGTAGCTTGCAGCGAGACCGAAGACGAGTCTTGCCTCGGGTTTTTGGGCGGGGACGAAGGAGAGGGAGGAAGCCCCATGCATGCTGCGGCCCAGACACTAGATGCCTGTGCTCTGCACCTGCCTCCGGACAAGCTCTTGCCTTGTCTAATGGGACATGTGGAGCCTGCATTGAAGAGTGGCAACCCCCATCAGGTAATCTATCAGTGATGAATACTCACAAGCCATAGACTGGTGCATATGATGAGTTGTGGAAAGGTCTCCTTTAGACCCACTAACTTTGATCATAAAGCCCTCAGTGTGTCTTGGCTAATTGTTTATTGTAGTTTGTAAGAAAATTTTGCTATCAATAATCACTTAGATTGCAGATTTTTTTTTTTTTTACGAGTAAATGCTCTACCTATTTCTGAGATAACCATAGTGAGAGTATAGGAAATGAAGGTAACAGTGCACAAGAAGCGGTGGGGAACACGTCTAGGTAGAATCAGTTTGTTTAGTTTGAGTTACATGCATCTTCATTGAGTTAATTTTGGGGCTTAGCGTCCCTGCAGCCCCGTCCTCAACCAGGCCTCCTGTTTGTTACACACCCCCAGGTAACAGCCCATAGCAGCTATCTTAACTACCAAGTACCTAGGGGCATCAGGGTGAAAGAAACTGCCCATTTGTTTCCGCCTCTGCCGGGAATCGAACCCTGAACCTTAGGACTACGAATCCCGAGCGCTGTTCACTCGGCCGTCAGGCCCCGCTTGTAGCATACTGTTTATATTTCAGATGAAGGGAAGGGATTGTTTTGATTATATTTCAAAACATAATCACATGAAGTGATGGTGGGTGCTGCTGGGAAGTCTTTTATGACAAGTTTATCATTTAATTTCACATTGCAGGTAAAGGGTGCATACCTAGCTCTGGCCATGGTGGCCGAGGGTTGTGCAGACACGCTACGCAACAAGCACCTCCATCCTCTCCTGCAGTGCATATGTCATGGCATCACTAATGAAAACCAGGTATGAGCACTTTTTTGGTATAACTAATGTTTGACATTGTTTCATCAAATGTGAAGTTGTATTATGGGATTTTGTGCTATATTAAGAATTTCTGATTATTCTGAATAAAGGGGGATTAGGTGGAAATGTAGATGTTTATCTCTCAGAATGTTTGGTAATATGTTTATTGTTTGTGATGTGTTTATATGTATGTATTAACACGATGTACTGAACGGGGTGAGAATAGCTTGAGCTACCTCATCCCTTTGTGTGCATTTTACCTCAATAAACTTATTTCAATTTCAATTTCAAGGGGGATTACTTTCTTGAATCACCATAGTGTGATCGATTCATTTCTTGTTATAATTTGTTTCTATTTAATTTAATCCATAGTTCCTGAAATTCTAAAGGTTTTTATTTTTTTGTGCCCCAAAACTATATTCATATCATTACATTTGCATTTTCTCTTTTGTTCTGTATTTTGATAAGAAAATGATATAGGAGTGTTAATTTTTAGCAAAAAACTTGAATTATTAATTTACTATTTATTAATGTACCATTTGGATTAATTTTGGTTGGATAATCTGGAGAGCCAGAAGATTGAAGGTCCACTCTAATGTATTTGCCAAGAATAGTGTTTCATAAACTCTCACAACCTCTTGCTGTGTGTCTGCTAACGCTTCCTGTTTTACCTTTGGATGTTTCACTGATTGCTTTATCCCTTGTTTTTAATTATTTACATCCACAGAGAGGTATTATAGCCATATATGCATCATACATGTAAATCCCAGGCAATAATTGTTTAAATCATCGTATGATTGCATTACTCGAGGGGTTGTCAATAGACGATAATTACCCCCTAAGGGTTAACATGTTGAACGTAGAGATAGTTGAGCCGTTGCTTCCAGCCAGGGTTCTGTGGTCTTTTGCTCCTCAGATAGGTGTATTTTGCTAACATATTTTGGTTTGGGAGGATGCCTAACTGATAAGGTGCAAAGCATGGCTCTGCCACTGAATCTTCATTTGTGACTTTTGGGGCTGTGGGACGCCTAACATGGGTCTCTGGGTGCCCGTCAACAACTCTTGGTCTTTGGTTCTTTTTGCAGAGGGTATTTTACTTAGCATGGAGGATCTTGCCTATCCTTTGTCACTGTTATTTTGATTCCTTGGTTACTCTTTCCCGGGTGTGTTTCCGAATCTCGTTAGTCTTCGGTTGCATAATACTTCATGTTTCGGTATTTTGCCTTGTGCCTTTTTCAACCCTGTTGGACCAGTTTTGGTTCTTCCCGAGGGATCTAGCCCTTAGATGGATCCAGCCTCTACTGAGTTTGTGTTAGCTTTGGCCTTTTGGTTGCACTACAAGAGTCCCGATTTTTCTTGGCTTGCAGACTTTGCTTCGTTTCACCTCTGGCCTGTTTGCGTCCCCTGAGCCTGCCTTGTATCTGGACCGGGTTCTTTCTTTTCTCGTTACAGTGGTCTCTTCAGTTTGGGATTGTTTTTAGAGGGTGTATTTTTGCTTTCTTTGGTCTCGAGTTGTTGGGTTGGTGAGCTTCATGCTCTTCTCGAGTGCCGGGGGTTTTGTTCCTTTGACATGGTAGGAATTTTGTTAGGTTGCTGCCGACTCCTCGTCTGATGAAGAACGAGTTGGCTGGCTTCCGGAGGGGGTGCTTTGGTGGTGGATGCTTGATTGGCTTGGCCAGGGGTGCATCATGTGCTTTATTTGGTGGCGGCTTTACACCGCTACCTTCCTGCCACCGGTTCTGCTTCAGTGGATTCATTGTGGGGTTCATCTGATTTCCCTGGTTTTCTGTTCCATATCGTGTTTCTTAGGTCATCTGCAGTGTGTTTTAAATCTAGCCTGCGTGTAGTTTACCCTCATACCCATGATGCCTGTAAGTATGTCACTCTCATGGCTGTGTTTGCTAACAATGTTTTGGGCTAATATTCAGGTGCGGGGGTTTTGAAAGTCAATCAGTCTTGGCAGCCAGGTGTGTTGTGGAGGTCTCTGGTCCTCTGCGGCCTTGTGTTGTCTTGGGTCGTATGTTGCGGTTTCATCTTTGGATAGATACCAGTCGTGCTACCTGCTCCCTGGTAAGTGCACTTTATTGTCCTTCTCTATGGGCAGTTAGTCAGGAAGCTGCTGGGGCTCCCCTGCCCCCCCTCCCCGCAACAAACCAGTGTTGAATGTTATGAAACGCTAGTTTCTGGGTGAGCCTTGGAGGCTCCTGACACCCTCCCTCCCTGAGGGTGTCTGTGTTTCATCATCATCATAGAACTGAATGTGGGGCAGGCCGGCTGACCCATTACGCCTCCTCCCTCCCCACAAACGAAGTGGGAGGGCGCTGACAGGCACTAGTTTCATGAAATTTTTGTGATTTGTTGTTATTGTTGGGAAGAGTTCTTGGTTTTCCCCCATGCAGGAATCTGTTTTGGTTCGCCTCTGGGTGCCTTCCCTGGTTGGTGGCAAGTATCATTAACTTTAAATAAACTTTAAATATAAAGTGTTCATAGGCCATCGCTTCCTGCACCTCTTGAAGGTAGGCCAGGTACTGGCTTGTGGTCCCCAGTAGGCCAATAGAACTCTGCATCTGCTTGCACCTAGTAGTATGGTACTGAGCAGTGTATGATAGCTTCAGGGAGCCTCTGAGGCTCACCCAAAACTGGTGTTTCATTACAGTCAAAGCTGGGATTTCTTTTTTTTTTTTTTTTGGCCGAGAAGATTCAACCAAATGTCCAATTATGACTACATAGTCGATCGCTATTTGAACTGAACCCCAATCAGACTGGAGGATGTTGTGTATATATTGCTGAAGTACATTAAATAATGCATTGACATAACAAATTTGTGAAATTTTTTTTTTTTTATAATTCCAAAGTTGTTTAAATTGTAAATACTATATATAGTTCTTTATTGCAGTTGGTGAGAAATAGTGCCCTCTTTGCTTTGGGTCAGTTTGCTGAACACCTGCAGCCGGACATCAGCAAATACCACGCAGAACTACTTCCTGTTCTCTTTGACTACCTCACTCAGGTTTGCCAATTAGTTTTTTGGAAAGGTTTAAATACTTTATTTCATACTACTTTAATAATAAAATACTTTTATTTCAACATCCCAAAAAATGTTTAAATATGCTTAGGAAAGGTGAGTGTCAATTTGGATCAGTATGTAGGTTTTTCCATCCTGACATGTGCTAAACCTCACTGGAGGACAGAACATGCTATGACCTCAGCTGCCCACACTTTCACGTGAAAGGCACGGAACGCTACATAAAGAGTGGCAAGCAGGATAATGAATTTGGAGGAAACTATAAATTTTTTATACCAGACCGGCAGAGAATTCAAAAGGAGCAGCATGGAGAGTGTATGGAACTGGATGCCAGATCCACTTGCATTCCAGAATTACAGATACAATTACCCACCTAAAAGGAACTACAACTACGACAGGCAACTGCCCTACAACAATCAGTACTGGTCAGAACAAACTCATTATGTCCACGAATAATGGGCTTGCCGAAAAAGTCTCCCATTCAAACTATCACTAATAGAGTAACCTCATTCATCTTTGCCAACATACAAGGACTGAAAACAAGAACAAACAACAAAGTACAGTTCATAAATGGCCTCCTCACGGAGTCAAATGCAGTATTTGGAGCTTTCACGGAAACCCATGCAGGGGAATTGTTGGACAGTGAGATCTGGATTCCAGGATATAACCTATACAGGTGTGATAGGAAAATTAGGTCACATGGAGGAGTGGGTGTGTATATTAGGGAAGAGCTTGTATGCTTGGAGCTCCTAAACGTTACAAATGAGGTGGTAGAGGTACTGGGATTAAAAATAGAGAAAATATATTTAGTGATTATTCTAATATACAAACCGCCAGATGCAACGGCTGAGGAATTCACAGAACAGATAAGCAAAATAGAGAATAGCCTTGATAATTTGGAGAACCCGATACCTGATATTATCTTCCTAGGTGACTTCAACTTGCCTAGTCTCAGGTGGAAAATAGCAAACAGTAATATTATACCAGGAAATCTATCAGGACCTAACCAACCACAGATTAGAGAACTACTTAGATTCTGTGACAAATTTTCACTCAATCAGCAGATATCGGAGCCAACGAGAAATGAAAATATTCTAGATCTGGTCTTTACGAACAATGAAGACATTATCAGACACATTACGATATCAGATACCACATACTCAGATCACAAGCTCATTGAAGTGCAAACGACCATCAATACTCAGAATAGACCTAAAACGTTGATAAAGCGAGAGGAGCTAATCAGTAAATTCAATTTTAATAATACTGTAAAAGGATAGACTGGGAGATAATAAACAGGGAACTTACAAACATTCCATGGGGAACTGTTCTAAGTAATACAAGTCCTACAGAAGGAATAGAAAAACTGACTTCAGAAGCGTATCAAGTCTGTCTGAAACATGTTCCTTTGAGGAAAGCCAGAAAGAGATCTAACGTAGAAAGAGAACGCAGACGACACTATAAACGCAGGAAAAAAATAACGGAACTGCTTATGCAGACAGGAATTTCCCATCAAAGAAGGAATAATTGAAACTTGTGTCCAATAAGTCTTGCCAAAGATTTATTTTCTGCACCAGTAATTTCCCATTAAAATATGGTAACACTAATGGTGTTCGTATTATTTGCAGACGTGTGTGGTTGTAGGTAGTGGAGGCAGCGACCCCCCTGGAGTAGATCGTATGTTCTATGCCCTGGAAGTGTTTTGTGAGAACTTGGAGTCTGAGCTCCTGCCCCACCTGCCAGCCCTCATGGAGAGACTCTTTGCTGTGCTGGCTGCTCGCACATCTGTCCACATGAAGGAGCTAGCCATTAGTGCCATTGGTGCCACTGGTATGTTTTATTTCCTGGAATTTTGTTGCATTGGTTACCTGATTATGTGGTTGATAACCAAGATTTATGGGTTGAATTAATGTGTAATTTACTACAGCAAATTTGAGAGTGGAACATTTAGCATCAATCATGAGCATGTCGCTGAAAGAAATATTCTTGTCATTTTTCACTATTGCCAATCACAACATACCTGGAGAGGGTGTCGGGAGTTCTACTCCCCGAGCTTGAATAGTGATAACTTGGTCCAACTAATCTCTTGTGTTATTCCACAGCTAATGCAGCCAAGGAACACATGTCACCTTACTTCCAGCAGATTGTGGAAATGTTGAAGGGCTATCTCACTGTAGACCAGTCTGAAGAAACTATGACCCTTCAAGTTCAATCCATTGGTAAGTTGACAGTTTTACATATTCGAGGTATTATTTTATATGTAAATACGTTAGGCACTTTTTAGTTTATGAAGAAAGTGGACTGTATTTTTTGGAATACAGACAAAACAAAATAGACAAAATCATGACAAAAGAAACACAGGCTACATGGTGGGGTCATCCTTTACTTCAAAGATACTCATCTGCACTGAGCTGTTAAACACCACAAATGATATGGTGGAAGTGATGATAATCAAAATGGAACCTGAACATGATTGTTATTGTCCATGTATATAAGTCATCAATGGCAAATTCTCAGCAGTTTAATCATCTCCGTGCTGCGTGGCTTTTGTGACATTCTGGTGGTGCACCAAAATTGAAGTGCTACCAAAAAATTTTTTTACATTTCTTTGAAAATTGTTAAAATCCCTTCCCTGAACATGTTAAAAAAAAAACAAAAAAACTGGCTGTGGTGACATGGAGAAGTTGCGATGTGACATCATCAGGATGTATTCGTCCATGCAGGAAGCTCCTGGAGGTGGTTGTGTTCGCCTGTGCGGGAAGTTCCGGAAGGCAGTTGTGTTTGCCTGTGCAGGAAGCTCCCGGAGGCAGTAGTGTTTGCCCGTGCAGTACGCGATCGAACGTGGCTGGTTCGATCTTCTCCTCCACTCTTCGCGTCTGGTCATTTTGAAGCGGGTTTATCACCACTTGTATGGTGATCGGGTGGCTTCTTTGATGGTGTCCCATCTGCGAGTTTCGTCTCGACGGCTGTATGAAGTACTGGAGGTCCTTTCAGCACATTTGGTCTCTTTGTAGGTTGCCTTCGATTTCTGATTGGGTTGTTTTGTATGTTCTTTCTTGGTTGCTTCAGGACTATCATCTTATGCCAAATACTGTCACCTTGTATCGTGCGGCACTGGTGGAGCCGCTTCAGCTTGCGTTTGGGGTTGGATGTCACATCTGCTCCTTTACGCAAGCTTTCTCAGGCGTTGTTTCACCTCCGGCCTGCTCATGCACTGCCTGAACCGCCCTGGTCATTGGACCGGGTGCTCTCTCTCCTCGGTTTGTGGTGGCCCCCTTGGTTCTGGATTTTTTTTCAAAGGCTCTCTTTCTTGTTGGCAAGAAAACTTACACTGGGGGTCGGGTCGGGGAGCTTCGTGCTCTCCTCTGGCGCAGGGGTTTCTGCTCTTTTGATCCTGGTGGTTGTTTTGTTCATTTGCAGCAGTCTCCCTCTTTTCTGGCGAAGAATGAGGCTGCTGCTTTCCGAAGGGGTCCTTGGGTTGGTTCAGCCAGGAGGAGTATCATGTTTTGTGTCTGGTTGCGGCTCTTTAACGTTATTTGTGCGCCATGGCTTCCTTGGCAAGGGACACGCTTTGGTGGACCCGGTTTCCCTTCTGTGTTCCAGGGCGCGGGTCTCCCAGGTCGTCTGCAGGATTATTCGGTCCAGCCAGCCTGTGGTCTGTCCCCATGCTCACGACGTTCGTAGGTTCGCGGCTTTGGCTGCTGTTTTTGGTAATATGTCCTGGGATGACATCGGGCACGGGGCTTTTGTAGGTCGAACAGGGTTCTGGCCGCCTGCACGGGTCCCTATTCTCTTTTATCTTTGGTTAGGTAGCTCCAGGGCACATAAGGGGCTCTTCACAGAAAACCAGCGTTGAATGTAATGAAACGCAGTTTTCTGGGTGAGACCCGGAGGCTCCCCCTGGCATCGCTCCCTCTCTGGTCAGCATTTTTTTTGTTTTTGATATTCAGCCTCTGAACTGAGGAGAGTAGCCTGCATGGAGGTCTGGGACCCTCCCCTGTGCCCCTCTTGGGGAGGGGGGATTGTGCAGACGGATGTAATTACCTAAGTGTAGTTACAGGATGAGAGCTATGCTCGTGGTGTCCCGTCTACCCAGCACTCTTTGTCATATAACACTTTGAAACTACCGACGGTTTTGGCCTCGTGCTTTGGATGTGTGGCGGTTGTGGTTTAATATATGCACATCAGCCTGGTATATCTCCGGGATCCTCCGGGTCTCGCCCAGAAAATGGCGTTTCATTACATTCAACGCTGGTTCTTTATATTACATTTACTGTGATCAGGGAACACAATATTAGAAGGAAAAAAAAAAATTTTTTTTTGTTGGACGCTGGAGGACGTCAAGTATAATGGGGGATGCACTGCAGGGGTTAAAACCTCTTCCTGCAAATTAATCACTGCTCCAATTTCTCCAATTCCACCTCCAGTAATAAATTTGACTTGTACTCATTGCAACTTTCTCACCGAATCTCCTGGACACGTTACACCCTACAGAGATGTGCTGACCTGGGGGATGCATTTATTGATTACCCTGATGCACTCAGTTTTGTTTAATAAAGGTGCCTAGATCATTTCTGGTTTGATGTATGAGCTGAGTTATGTTAATGTTGTCAGGTCTTCCACATACCTCACTTAAGATTCCAGTAGAGTATGCTATAGGATGCTATTTACAACCATGTGCTCACCAAACTTATGGTTGGATGTAATCTGATAACCTTTTTAAGGAGATAGAACCTCCAAATGTTGCTTCAAAATATTCTAAGGAAAAATTACTGTTCTTTCAAAAGTGTTTACATGCAAGAGGAGAACAATGCATCAGAAGTGCAGGGTTCATTCCACTCGCCTGGGCTCTAGGAGACTCGAACCCTGGGCATGAACTCTATTGAGGTAAATTTTTTTCATATTAGGAAATGGCCGCGCTCTAATATTTCCTGTGGGAGAATTTGCTCACCTACCCAGTGTATCATTATTTCTCTTAGCAGTTCCATCTTCACCATTCCCATGTGCAATAATAGACCATAGTGCTGAATAATCCCGCCATTTTGCTAAAAATTACCTCTTTATATTGTCTGTTAGATTTGGGACCTGCCCTAAACGCTGTGCTTACTGGTGGCTTTACAAGAATGTGAACACATCATGCTATGTACTCTCATAAACATCAAGTGAGCTCTATAAGCCTTATGTGTATAAATACTCTTGTTGCCTGTTCCCCGACACAATAAATATGATTATTATTATTATTATTATTATTATTATTATTATTATTATTATTATTATTATTTATTAGCTCTCCATTGTCAAGTTTCTGCCAATTACAAATATTTATGTTGTTATGGATGGCCGACCCTCTTGTGATCCCCGGACATATATACCTTAGTGTATATGCATACTACAATGTTAAGTTTGCTCTTTGTTGTATTTCAGACACTCTAGGTCAATTAGCACGGTGTATGGGTGTAGAAAATTTTACAGTATATGCACCAGACTGTGTGACACTAGGTTTGGGACTCATGGAACGCAAGGATGATCCAGATGTACGCAAAACCTGCTATCTCTTGTTTGCATCCCTGGCATCCGTCATGAAAGCCGACATGGCCCCACACCTTCCCAAGATCATGGAACGCATGATGCTCTCTCTGAGGAGCACGGATGGCGTTGTGGTAAGCATTATTCTCTCTACAGTATCAACAAATCAATGTACAGTAATGTATACAGCACTACAAATATATTGTCAATGTGTTTAATATATTATTGAATTACATTATTATTATTATTATGTTCAATAATTACACGAGTCATTGTTACATTTACGTCACGTAAATGTAATAGTGACTGATCGAAATAGTCGTGTTTGATGAATATTGTGGTTTCGACAGACACATTTCAAAGATGACGAGAGTGGTCTACCAACAACCATTGAGGGATTGAGTGAGTCTGAGGAAGAGGAAGAGGGAGAGGTAGATGTGCTGGGTAACGAGGAGGGTGAAGACGAGGATGTAGCTGGTTATTCGGTGGAGAATGCTTTTCTGGAAGAGAAGGAAGATACATGTGTTGCTCTACGTGAACTATCACTCCACTGTGGGTAAGTGTTTAGGCCTCGCCACATGGGAGAGATTCTTTATTCTCTCCATGTGTTATCTTGAGAATTATTCCTTGTATTGGTTTCAGATTTACAATACTTGTGATGCCCCTTGTGTTTAGAGGGAGAGTGTTGACAATTCTTAGGCATTTAATGTTGATAAAGTTCTCTCTCAGCATACCTGTTGTACCTCTTGTTTTTCAAGAGCCATTTTGTGGTTCCTGTGATGCCTTCTCGTCTCTTGTGGTGTTATTTCTGTCTTGAGAGTTTGGAACCAGTCAATAACACTTTCTCTCTCTCTCTCCTACACTCTTGGCGCTCAAAAAAAAATAATACCCTAGATGCTTTCGGCGCTCCGCGCGCCTATGCGGTAAGACCGAAAAAGTGTACACTCTTTTTACTGTCCTGATAATAATTGAAGGCGCACGTATTTAAATTTGGTATCACTGTGTTCGCAATAAAATTGTCTATAAGAACATATCTATAAAATGCCGCCAAACCATAAGGACTATCAACACCAAATAAAAAACTATTCAGATCACTCGCCAAGAGCGCCAAACAGCAACAAAATGTTTCCACTCTCTTAATGGTTGCGAAGCCTACAGTTGTCCTACATCGCTAATTGTGGTATCATTGGAATCGCAATAAAATTCTCTACACGGACATATGCATATAAATATAGATTCAATGTCGTAGCCCACCCAAAACAGTGTGGGAAGTGGCCGAAGTGTTACCCGCGGCAGCATATCGGCGAAACTCGCTTTGAAAAGTGTATATTCAATTCACTGTCCTGACATTATTTGTCGATGTATGTATTTCATTTTTGTACCAATGTGCTCGCAATAGAATGTTCTATAAGAACATAAGTATTAAAGGTCACATAAGGATGCGTTCGACCGGCAACATATATAAAAACTACATCGATTACGCTCGTCGTGTCAATAATACAATTGTTTTACCACGATGATTCACTGCCACGCCGTTTTCTTTTATAAGCTGTTCGGCTATTAGAGAAAACGTAAATTTCATGGCAAACATTTGTATACTATTCCCAAGTTGATCGGATAATAAATGGATTTTATACAAATATTTTTTCGATGGACTACAGGCGTCGTCTGTTATGCGGAAACGTAAGAAAATACGGTGACGACTCATGGATAATCCTAAGCGCGAAAGTGTTAAGTGGTCCCAATGTTGCACCCTGAGAGGATATGCTTCAGTCTTTGTATCGAAGCAGCAACACAGTTTGAGATGGATATGGTATCCCAGAGAAAGAGGATGAAGGCTGGATGAACTATTTTTTCCTTGACTGTCATAAATTTGTTACTATGTAACATAGTAAATTTATAATAAAAACAATTAATGTTAAACATAATTTTTTTACTATGTAACAATGGTTTGCATCAATTATTCCATCTGTTTTATATGCTAAGTTCTATATGGTATTAAAATTGTGTATAACAAGTGTCATTTATGGAATTTTCATGGAATTTCAGAGATGCATTCCTGCCTTATATGGACAAGAGTGGGGAAGAGGTGTATAAAATGCTGAACTACCCAAGTGAAGATGTTCGGCAGGCTGCAGTTGGTGCGATGGCACAGTTTGTCATCAGTCTAGCCAAGAGCTCGACGCCAGAAGCAGCTGAAGGTCAGGATCTGGGTTCCTTCAATTATAATGTTCTAGCTTTGAAAGCTGTTTTATGCAATTTTGACAAATTTTATATTTTGTTTTGTTTATATTTTTATTAATTTAAGCTTATAGTATGTTATTATGGGGTGATGAAGGTGCATGTTTGAACTCTATGCCGTAGAGTAGCACTTGCACTAAAATGTGTTAGTTTTCAAGGATGTTGACATGGCATCCTACTAAAAAGAAAAGAGGAATACAGGTTAATAATGTTGTAATAAGATCAGATTAAGAGTTCCATGGTTCACCCAAGATAGTAGTGAGTTTGGAAGGGAAGGTCCTCTAACAGTGATGTGTAAACAAATCCGAAAGAAGCCTTAATGAGCATTTGAACCTATGCACTGGGTGTTCCCAGGCGCGCTCTAGTTGACTGCACCATGAATGAGGGCTCGAACCTATGCACTGGGTGTTCCCAGGCGCGCTCTAGTCGACTGCACCATGAATGAGGGCTCGAACCTATGCACTGGGTGTTCCCAGGCACGCTCTAGTCGACTGCACCATGAATGAGGGCTCGAACCTGTGCACTGGGTGTTCCCAGGTGCGCTCTAGTCGACTGCACCATGAATGAGGGCTCGAACCTGTGCACTGGGTGTTCCCAGGCACGCTCTAGTTGACTGCACCATGAATGAGGGCTCGAACCTATGCACTGGGTGTTCCCAGGCACGCTCTAGTCGACTGCACCATGAATGAGGGCTTGAACCTGTGCACTGGGTGTTCCCAGGCGCGCTCTAGTGGACTGCACCATGAATGAGGCTGGAACCTGTGCACTGGGTGTTCCCAGGCACGCTCTAGTCGACTGCACCATGAATGAGGGCTCGAACCTGTTCACTGGGTGTTCCCAGGCACGCTCTAGTGGACTGCACCATGAATGAGGGCTCGAACCTGTGCACTGGGTGTTCCCAGGCGCGCTCTAGTGGACTGCACCATGAATGAGGCTGGAACCTGTGCACTGGGTGTTCCCAGGCACGCTCTAGTCGACTGCACCATGAATGAGGCTCGAACCTGTGCACTGGGTGTTCCCAGGCGCGCTCTAGTTGACTGCACCATGAATGAGGGCTCGAACCTATGCACTGGGTGTTCCCAGGCGCGCTCTAGTCGACTGCACCATGAATGAGGGCTTGAACCTGTGCACTGGGTGTTCCCTGGTGCGCTCTAGTTGACTGCATCATGAATGAGGGCTCGAACCTATGATCCTATGTGCCCAGTGCATAGGTTCGAACCCTCGTCAAGGCTCCTGTTGAATTTGTTCATTGATCTATCACGTTAATGACATTTCTATGTGTACTGATGTTTAAAAGCAACCATTTGTTCTTGATGGTAGGTCTTGTCTAAACAATTGAAAACTTCTGAATGATAAGTTGTTAAAATTATGAATAGGAAATTTAAAACAAATTTCAGTCCCTTATACCTGGGCTGTATGGGGTCTTGAAACATGGACCTCCGTGTGAGGCCGAAGCTCTACCTAAAGTATCTATTTTCAAGCTTCAGTGTTAAGATCCATTTTAGTAGTCAGGTATATTTAAAGAATTGTTGATTGTAGAATTAAGAGATTTTATTACCTAATATTTGTTATTTCTTTTGATAGTGTTCATGTTTACTGTAGGTGACCAACATATGTACTTTTAATTTAATTTTGTTAATTTTAAGCAATATATTTAAATAAATTTTTAATTTAAATGTTTTATTATAATTTTAGATAATTATCTTCCAACTATTTTTTTGCTAGGTTTTAAGAAATGGATTCAGGTGTTCATACCCAAGTTGTCGGAGTTGATACGCACCGACGAGGAGAGGTCGGTGGTGATGGCGTGCCTTGAGGCGTACGCTGAAGTGTTAAAGGAAGTGGGCACTAGAGTGCTTGTACCACAGGGCCACCTAGAGGCCATTATCAACTGTGTCAAGGATGTTATGCAAAAGAAAGTAAGTTGATTTGCTAGCGCAGTTTACAACTGTACATTGAATGCATGTCATTTTATTTTATTTTATTTTATATATCTTATTTTTCTGTGATTCCTGCAGCCATTTCAGAAAATAAATTTGTTTGTCAAATATATTGGACTATAATTTTAAACTGGCCCAAGACAAGCTAGTCTTCTAAAAGTAATATGTGTATTTTGCTTTGGCTGGCTTGGCTTGAGTGAAGGAGGCATATGAATAGTTGTATCTGGAACTTCTGACCAAACTCTCTTCCACTTCAAAAGTTTCCTACAGGCAGAAATTGTCTGGCCTTAAAATGTGGTTACTATATGTAAATGATATCAAATTGGTGTCCTCTTAAATATTGCTACTGGGCCCCAGTCAACTCATTGTTAGTAGCTGGGTAATATGGTAACAATAATTAATCTGCATTTATATATTTTTTGGGGTCTTGCCCCACTCTTAACCACTCCCTTTTATAGAAAAGATAGGTAAATTGGCCTAAAAACTACTTATATATCTACTTGGTTTAATATTTTTGAAGAGAGGAGAGGAGTAGAAACTTGTAGTCTTGGCTTTAAATGTACCTTTAGTTATACATAAGCTTCCCCCACCACTCCAGTGGAATTTTCTGGGGTGTGAATGAATAGTCGTATTGGTTCAGGTAATTCAGTTGGCTGGTGTGGTCACGGTATTACCAAAATGTTCTGGGTTTAACTGTAAGGTTACCATTCTGTCATCAGTCTAGAATGCCTCGGTCATCGAGCAGCTTGCTGATTCGTTATTCATTTAACGAGCTAATAATTTATCTGGCTTAACTACAGTGTTTACTGCTAATAGACATCCACTTTTTCTATTGGTTATTTTGCTTCATTCATATAGGAATTCACAAAGAGTAAGGAGTTGTAATAGCTGTCAGTCCACTATTGAATTAGTAGACTGTCAACTGCAATAACTCGTCTGTATTAAATATACTCTGTGGATTGTTATTAAGATCCATATCTATTATGTATTATTCATCATTAATTTGCCTATGGAAAGGTTATTATATCTAGATGAATCAGAATTTTCTATATTTCAGTGAATTAATGAACCTAATTTCTCTGAGAACAGTAATTTTTTCGTACAAGCAGTCCTACTAAATAATATTGTGGATTATATACACTTATGTAAGTCTTCCCATCTTAGAAAGGATTGAGATGCCTATCTAGATTTCATTGATACTTCAAATAAAGTATAAAAAACTGATGTTGGATTGGCACCTTAAAGTTTCTCACATAATTTTAGCAGTTTGTGATCATTTCTCACAAATTACTTGAAAATTCAGTATTTTATTCAGTTAAATATCACAGACCCAAAAGTGTTGGGGCTAAAATCATAATAAGTTTACTACTCAGGCAATCCCAGTAGGAGTGCCCTATGGTTTTCAATCTGTTTTTGTTGTTCACAATATAAGCAGAATCTTCATTCCTTCAAATGAGCTTGGCAAACAGGGATGCTCGTGCCATATCTGATCCTTCTGTGTTAATCAGTGAAGGATGTTATAAAGTAATGCACAAGATTGATATCCGTATATATGTCCCCGTATATATGTCTTACATATATACGGGGCTCACATTTGCTTCCTCAAGTACCAGTAAACAGGTGCAGTAAAAAAAAAAAAAATCATGGGCACGCATATAGTACACGATAAACCATCTAAACTACTTTATTGGGATCATTTCAAAGGTCTCAAAACAAAATGTACTATGTTGAAAGGAGATGAGAAGTATATTGAATAATGAATACATGGAAAATATTAGAGGGCCAGGTCCTAAATTTACACAGTAAAATAACATACTGGGGGGAATCTTGAGGTTATCTCGAGATGATTTCGGGGCTTAGCGTCCCCGCGGCCCGGTCCTCGATCAGGCCTCCTTTTTGCTACACACCCCCAGGAAGCAGCCCATAGCAGCTGTCTAACTCCCAGGTACCTGTTTACTGCTAGGTAACAGGGGCATCAGGGTGAAAGAAATATTTGGCCCATTTGTCTCTGCTTCACCGGGGATCGAACCCGGAACCTCACGACTATGAATCCGAAGTGCTGTCCACCCAGCTGTCAGACTCCCCTAAGGAGGATATGGATGGAATAGAGAATAGAGCCAGTGAAGAATAGAGGTGCCATAGAGGTCCACAAGGGCTTCATCACGGCCCTTGTGGATTTGTTCATAGGTCCATGGTTGTTCTGTATCCTCCCAACAAGCATAACAAATATTACCAGAACAAAAGTGAACTCCATATGGAAGCACGGAAAAATTTTCTGCAAAATGTGCTGGACCAACCGGGTTGTAGTGGTTATGTGGTTATGTGCAAGCAACAGCCAGTTGGACCATGCTTTCTCAAGTCAAGCCTGGCACCAGGCTGGGCTTGGGAGTACAACTCCCCGAATCTCATTCGGGTATAATTCAGGTACCTGGTATTTGTTCATGTTAAAAAAAACATCTCTGAGTGGTTTGAGTATTTGTGACCATGTTATAGTGGGGTTCCTTCGGTGTGTGTGGTGTCTGTTACCCCTTATCTTCTCCACCAAGATGGAGGCCTGACAATTGAGCGCAGGCTTCGGATTCGTAGTCCTGAGGTTCCAGGTTCGATTCCCGGTGGAGGCGGAAACAAATGGGTAGATTTTCTTTCACCCTGATGCCCCTGTTACCTAGCAGTAAATAGGTACCTGGGAGTTAGACAGCTGCTATGGGCTGCTTCCTGGGGGTGTGTAGCAAAAAGGAGGCCTGGTCGAGGACCGGGCCGCGGGGACGCTAAGACCCGAAATCATCTCAAGATAAACAATGATAGGAGGGGGGCAGGACCCTGGCTCCTGCTTCCTGTAGACCAGTGTTTCCCAACCTTTCTTGATCCATGCCCCACCTGAGCACCTAAAATTGTTTAATGTTCCCATTGGTTGAAAAGCTTAAGAAAAAAAAGGGGGGTCCAATATGCCATCAGGAGAATTGAGTTTCAATTTTGCGGTCTTTATAAACCTCAAAATTCAGACTTGTACGAAAGAATGCAATAAAATGTATGATTTTAAATGACAATAAGTAATATATATTTGCATTGCAATAAATGACAGTGAAATAAATTTGTTAGAATTAACTACAAATTCCTATAAATAACATCAAACTTGGAGCGTCCAAAACAAATTTAAGTAAATTCTGGAATATAAAATTAACATCTGTGCAATCCTTGCACTTGGCATCTGCTGCAAATTTAATCTCAGGTCATCACAGTTTGTGATATCCAGTCTATTTCTTTTATTGTTTAAAAGAACAAAATCACTTATAGCACTAAAACATGCAATCAAATATGAACTCGGAATGACAACAACAATTTTCTTGCTAAATTACTTGTTTGGGTATTTTGTGACTGTTTCATCACAGCCATGGCATCGTTCCTTTTATTTTGAATAAAGTTTTAATTGGGTCGTCATTTTGCAGTTTTTGTCCTCGTAGTTTTATAACAAGTTTTAAGAAGCTTGTCTTCTTAACCCCTTAACTGCGTTGCCTCCAAATGTGACACCCCCGCAGTGCGCAGGAAATAAATTCTCTGGAAAAAATTATTTTTTCTTTTTTAAAGTGTCAAAAACCCTTCCCTCAGTATGGGTATGTAAAAAAAAAGTCGAAATTGTACTTACTTTGGCTGCTATGGGGTCCGGAAGTTGGGGCGTGACGTCATCATTCCCTGTGCGCCCGTGCCATAAGCTCTCGGGGGCGGTGGGGCACTCGGGGCGGGGTGCGTGTGTTGCCGCGAATATATTTTCGTTCATTTTTTGCGCACCTTTCCAAATACATTTTCATTGTTTTTATGTGCCAATCCAATGTATAATGAACACGTACACTATAATATCGCAGTACAACATCCGTACTGTCCGTAGACACTGTGTTACGTGCATGAAACTTGTGTACACATATGCAGCACATATTTACTATGTATCATGCTAATTTGTGTATATATACAATCTATTTACACACAATACACTGTCACACACTATATACATTCACCATGAACACGTTCAGAACACCGCGAGTGAGAGCTGCCACACCCAGCCAGCCATCCCTCACTTCTCCAACATTGTATTCGCCAACTTTGCCCCTCCCATCATACAGTTATTCACACCGATGTTTCATATTCATTTATGTATATTTACAACATATGTACACACTATACACTGTCACACACTATATACATTTACCATCAACACATTCAGAGCATCGCGTAGCAGCTGCTTCGTATGGGCCAATAGCAGCTGCTTCGTATGGGCCAATAGCAGCTGCCTCGTATGGGCCAATAGAAGCTGCCTCGTATGGGCCAATAGCAGCTGCCTCGTATGGGCCAATAGCAGCTGCTTCGTATGGGCCAATAGCAGCTGCCTCGTATGGGCCAATAGCAGCTGCTTCGTATGGGCCAATAGCAGCTGCCTCGTATGGGCCAATAGAAGCTGCCTCGTATGGGCCAATAGCAGCTGCTTCGTATGGGCCAATAGCAGCTGCCTCGTATGGGCCAATAGAAGCTGCCTCATATGGGCCAATAGCAGCTGCCTCGTATGGGCCAGTAGCAGCTGCCTCGTATGGGCCAATAGCAGCTGCCCCGTATAAGCCAATAACAGCTGCCCCGTATGGGCCAATAGCAGCTGCCCCGTATGGGCCAATAGCAGCTGCCCCGTATGGGCCAATAGCAGCTGCCTCGTATGGGCCAATAGCAGCTGCCCTGTATGGGCCAATAGCAGCTGCCCCGTATGGGCCAATAGCAGCTGCCCCGTATGGGCCAATAGCAGCTGCCCCGTATAAGCCAATAGCAGCTGCCCCGTATGGGCCAATAGCAGCTGCCCCGTATGGGCCAATAGCAGCTGTCTCGTATGGGCCAATAGCAGCTGCCTCGTATGGGCCAATAGCAGCTGCCCTGTATGGGCCAATAGCAGCTGCCCCGTATGGGCCAATAGCAGCTGCCCCGTATGGGCCAATAGCAGCTGCCCCGTATGGGCCAATAGCAGCTGCCTCGTATGGGCCAGTAGCAGCTGCCTCGTATGGGCCAGTAGCAGCTGCCTCGTATGGGCCAGTAGCAGCTGCCTCGTATGGGCCAGTAGCAGCTGCCTCGTATGGGCCAGTAGCAGCTGCCTCGTATGGGCCAGTAGCAGCTGCCTCGTATGGGCCAATAGCAGCTGCCTCGTATGGGCCAATAGCAGCTGCCCCGTATAAGCCAATAGCAGCTGCCCCGTATGGGCCAATAGCAGCTGCCTCGTATGGGCCAGTAGCAGCTGCCTCGTATGGGCCAGTAGCAGCTGCCTCGTATGGGCCAGTAGCAGCTGCCTCGTATGGGCCAATAGGAGCATTTGGCCATGAACACATTCAGAACACCTCGAGTGAGCGCAGCCACACCCAGCCAGTCTCCCTCACTCCAACATCTTACTCGCCAACATTGCTCCTCCCACCATATTGCTATAGTTCTTATTACACACATGTTCTATATACCTATCTACATGTTTTATTTACCAGAACTATGCAAGTAAGCCGGTATTGTGTCCAAACAGTACAGTGGCCACCATACACTGCATGAAAAATCACACAGCAGACGACGCTACGATTACGTCACCTCCCTCACCAAAATAGCTCTTCTCAACATTCTCCTGTTGCTGTTCTTACACTATATACACACACTATATATACCCATGTACATGTGTGTTGCCCATAGCGAACCACTAAGCTAGTATGGTGAGCAAAACAAGAGTGGCAGCCACACACACACAATGAGGCTACCTCAATTCTTGCCCTCCCTCCCTCATCAAAATTCCTCCTTCCACAATACTACGCACAACGCTAATTATAACCACAATCCTGCTATTATCACAATCCTGGTCACTAATTCCTGTAAATGAATAATTGACCACACGTTTATTTTGAAAAGGAACCTAAGAAATCATTTGAAGATTCCTAGATGAACGAAATAATGCTGTGGAGCTGTGGCTAGCGCTGTGAATATAGTGAACAGCATTGAATCACTGATATTTGAACATTGTACCCAGTCATTATCACACTCAGGCTCTAATATAACACTATCATAGCTAAATAATACAAGTTATATATATATTTTGACATTATTAGGCGATGCTGTGGTCACATGCTGAACAGCAGTGCTGTGCGCTCATGCTGCGAGCGCCAGCCTTGGTTGCTCATACACTACTGAGGCTCCCACACCCGGGAATGTGGACCACGATTTTTTTTAATGATGGCGTCTGTTTACAAGATCCCTGAGGAAGCTGATGTGAACCCCATGTAACTGCGGGAGTTTTGAATGGAACGTGAAAAATACAAATACCCGGAGGTGCGTTGCGCAAACCAGACGTGAGCCTGCAGGCGCGTTGCGCAGTTTAAGGGTTAACTGAGGCAATTATTGCTAACCTCAGAACTTCATATTTAGTTTTGTATTTTGTGAAGTGTGTTTCATGTCAGTACTCATTGCTCCAGTCTGTATTCACCCCACTGCTGAGCTTACTATATTCACTGTTCTGTACTGTGTTATAGAACTATAATCGTTATACCTCTTGTACTCATTGCCCCACATACACCATGAAGTATGCTGCCCCTCTGACACCTAAACTCTCTGATGGAAACCTGTTTGTTCTTTGTTTGCAGACAATGTGTCAAGACATGACAGATGAAGCAAGCAGCGAAGATGAAGGTGAAGCAGAACATGACGAGCTGTTGATAGAATATGCAGGAGAGGTGGTTCCCAGTTTAGGAAAAGCCATGACCCAAGCCGAATTTGCCACACAATTTGCACAGTTGCTCCCGCTTTTTGCGAATAAAACGGTAAGTTATACTAAAAATAATTAATATTGCAGCCCATCCTCCTAGTATGGTAGTACAGTACCTTATCCTCATAGTAACGATTAGGACCATAGTATGTACACCGACATACAACAAAATTAGGAAGTAGAAATCAGCATATTGAGTTGGACAAACCAGGAAAACTATTTTCTACTTATGTTGCAAAGACAAACTAAACTAACCTAACCTTCCTAGGCCAAATACATGACATCTGAGGCCTAATATAGTACATGTGTGTGCTGTACTAGGCCTAAAAATGTTTTTTTAGCTTCATTTTTCCGACTATAAAGTGAATAGTATAAGGTTCTTCTAATAGCTTAGAATGGCAATCTTTGTACTATGTACACATAGTAACAAAAACTACAGTTTAACCAGGTGATGGGCTGTATTGTTATCGTTATTAGTATTTTAGTATTTCAAATAATTCGTTGCAGAGGTGTCTTGGTTCTTATTACTCAGGTCTGTCCGAAGGAAGTAAATGTAAAGCGTATGTATTTACCTAGTTAGCGCGACAGAAGAAAGATTATAAAGTGACACCTCCAATATCTGGATCATATCATTCCGTACTCAAATCAGGATTTGCATGAAATGCAGTTTTCATGAAATTACTTCAGTGGGGTAGTGAGGGTAGACTTAGGGAGGATTGGGACACTTCTCTATTGTGTGTCCATAAGTTTTGCAGTAAATGCAGTAAAGTACATAATAAGTGTCCTTTGAGCTGACCTTAGATGGAGAATAGTTATACCAAGATGGCTTACTTGAATATCAATCCAAAAGCTTTGTGCACAAGAGTATTGGTGCAGTCTCCTTTATCTGCAAGGTATAGGTGCGCAGAATGAGGAATACATCGCACAAATTCTTCCACTAGAATAAAGTTGGTTAGGGCCTCAAAAGTATTAAAATGAGTAGATTCTAACCATTTATAGAAATACAGTACCTAGATTTATTTGGGATAAACTCATAATAAGATTGACTTGCAGTTTTATCATAGTCCTTGAAGCGTCGGCGATAACACACTCTGGGTGCAAGGTATACATAAAGGACTGCTTATTTCAACACATTGTATTTCGTTTTAGGGGCAAGAGTACCAAGTGTCAAGGCAGCTCTTCCAGTGAGATGGGCTCAAAGAAGTACTGACCATTTGTTCTTAGGCCACTGTAACTGGGTGGCAAGATCTTCAAACGAGGTAAAAAATGTCAACCTCCTCCTCTATGAAAGGCGACATTATCTTAATACAGTGTGAGAGATTGAAACGTATTGGTAGGTCGGCTTCAGTATGCTGTCGCTGCTGGTTGTGAGAGGTTTCGAGTCCCAATTCGTGTCGTCGGTAGTCTAGAGCGGCAGTTACCTCTTTTGTTCTACCCCCAGTGCTGTTTCAGCTTTTTTTCTTTTTGGGGTTGTAGCTGTACTTCGTGTTCTAGTAGCTGGAGTCTTTCTTGTTGGCTTTGTCTATGTAAAGCAATTTGTGGCTCTAGGAGCCAGTCTTTCTTGTTGACGTTCTAGCTCAGCTTGTTCTTCATTTGTTTGATGTAATGGAGCTTCTTGTTCTCTCATCTCTCTTCTGTGTTTGTCGGCGGCTGCTCCTCATCTTGCAAGTTCAAGCTTCATTTATGTGAGCTAGGACAGATTTGTCTGCAATCTCATACTGTTCAAATTGTTCAAAAGTGATGATATCACTGTCTGCCAAATAATCAAGAATTAGATTATAGATGTTGGTTTTGGTGGCACGACGAGGCACAGACGTGTGATACTCTGAGCTCAATGTTTAACAACACTGCTCTGGTGGCACGCACAAAATTAGCAAGTTCCTTCTCTGGGTTGGAACGAAATGCTACTCTAAGCAAAACACGGTGAATATCAACATATAAACAAAATGAGTAACGGTGGAAGAATTCACTCGTATCCTGTAGGCGAAACAAGTGTTGATTACCAGACTGACATATAAGTGATGTGGCAGCCTACTCGAGAGCGATTTTTAATGCACTGTACTAGCAACATTGTAAGTACTGCACATAATTATCATGAAAGGCAGTACAACAAATAAATGCACAAGATAAATTACTGTACTGAACATTATACGCTGAAATTAAAGTACAGTAAGTCGATAGGCATTAGTGAGAACTTGATGAAAGAAAATAAACAAATGTTTTGAGGTAGTGAAAATGAGAAAAATGTGTTAATCCAGTACTCTAGTAAATTATCTCTACTATTGAGAATAAGAGCAAGTAGTGTCCTACTAATGTTTTGGAAATAAACTGCAGGAGTTATCATTCTTTGTGCTCTTTGAAAAAATAGTAAACTTCCTACCCGAGTAGTTGATGACAGGCTTTGAATGAAGGCTTAGGGGTGCAGTGTGTGTCAGTGCTGACGAGGTTCTGTGTACGAGTCCTAAATGTACAACACTACATGGATGCTAGTGGAACTTAGCCCAATACTTCCTCCTAACCTCGTAATATAAAGTGGAACGAGAATAAAGTTCGGAGACAAACCAAAGTATAATATCTGTACCTGAGGGAGGTGATCTGTCCGAGTCACTTCAGCTGGAGAAAAAAAACATGGGCGAACAACATAAAAAATCAATTATTAAAAGCATGAATTTGTGCATGAAATATCACATAACTAGAAGTTAATCTAATAAACAGATCACAAATTGCTACATCTGTAGTAATTACCCAAGTGTAATTACAGGATGAGAGCTACGCTCGTTGTGTTCCATCTTCCAGTACTGTCATATAACGCTTTGAAACTACCGACGGTTTTGGCTTCCTCCACCTTCTCACTTAACTTGTTCCAACTGTTTACCACTCTGCAAAAGAAAACTTTCTAATGTTTTTCAGCACCTTTCTTTTCTTAGCTTGAATCTGTGTTCTCTTGTTTATGAAGTTGCTGGTTTCAAGAATCGACCAACTTTAAGTTGGTCGATTCCTGTTAGTATTTTTGTAAGTGGTGATTATATCGCCTCGTTTTCTTCTATCTTCTAGTTTTGCCGTGTTTAATGCCTCTAGTCTCTCCTCGTAATTCTTGTTTTTCAATTCCAAAAGCCATTTTGTAGCATGATGTTGCACCTTTCCAGTTTATTTATGGGCTTTTTTGAGGTATGGGCACCATACAACTGCTGCATATTCCAATTTTGCGCTTTCCCTACAGGTGTGTATGAATATAATGTCCAAAAGCCTAGCGGGACTCCCAACAGCAAAGCGTAAAGTTGGCAAAAGATACCCGTGAGCGCACAAAATCAGTAAAATGTGTATACTCGTTCCATTTTTCTCACCTTAATTCTCGTGCTACGTCGCTCGTTTTGGTATCATTGTGTTTGCAATTAAATTCCCTACAGATGTGTATGAATATAATGTATAAAAGCCTGGAGTGCCTACCCATAGAAAAGCCTAAAGTTACCCGTGAATGAGCACCAATTTGTACACTGCAACCTAATGTGTATACTCGTTCAGTTTGATAACATCAATTTTCGTGTTACATCTTTCATTTTGGTATCAAATTGTTCGCAATAAAAAGGCGCGCATTTTAAAACTAGTCCCATAATAATAGAGTAATAACTGTAATTTTAACAAATATTTTCATTTTGGAAGCTTATCATCACAAAATTATTTATCTTTTTCCAGTGTTCTGACATAAATTTTTGTGTTACATCTTTCATTTTGGTATCAAATTGTTCGCAACGTAAAGGCACGCATTATAAAACTAGTCCCAACATAAATAAATAAATAAAGTCCCAGCACAATAAATAGAATTTTACCAAATATTTTAATATTTTGACCAAAAACCTATTTATAATCTTTCAAGTGTTCGGACATCAAGTTTCATGTTATATCTTTCATTTTGGTATCAAATTGTGCGCATTCTAAAGGCGCTTATTTTGATACTATCCCGAGGTCAATCGGATAAAAAATGAATTTTATACAAATATTTTTGTAGTTGATGCAAGTCAGGTCCAAAGTTTGGCTTCAAGAGAAAAAAATTGGACTGAAGTCAGGTCCAAAGTTTGCTATACTGTTAATCTTTTTGACCACGACTGTGTCTCCACACAGCTTGAATCACAAACTACTGGTCATTCATTCTTATTGATATGCTGAAAGGACCAGAAATTCTCTAGCTAAATATATACAGTAATATTTTAGGTCACAGCAGCACATCATTTGTTGTATCCAGTGATGGGCCTTCACCGCTACCTATGGGATACTGGTTCTGTCTCAATGGATGCCTTGTTGATTGTTGCTTTGGTCCCTTGTTCCAAAGCTCATATTTCTCAGATTATCCACTGTGTCATTAAGTCTACCCTCAGGTCCATGATATTCACAAATGTGCAGCTTTGGCCACGATCTTCTCCACCATGACTTGGGCTGATGTTCTGGCTTGAGAGTTTTGGTGTTCTAGTATTATTCTCATGGCCTGGTATTTTAGTCTATTTCTGGTTCCAGTCAATAGTTTGTTGTTTTGGTCTGTGTCTCCTGGCCTGAGTTCTCTTCTTTGTCCTAGTGCCTGCTGCCTCTCCTTCCTGCAGGTTCCATTTTTTTATGGTTGGTTAGTTTCAGGAAGCCAATGGGGGGAGGTGCATTGAGGGGAATGAAATACTGTTTGCCTGAAACGCTATACATACTGTACTAGTGGCTGTACAAGAATGTAAGAACGCTTGTATATGTAATAAATAAATAAATAAAAATAAAACTACTTTCCGGAGGAGTCCTGGTGGCTCCCTGACTTCCCCCTCTCTCCAGGTTTGTCAGTTCGTGCTTGGGTTGTTCATTAGCTCCAGAACTTGAGCTTGAGCTTTGGCTGCAAGGTACTGTAGATCCAGCTGGGGCTGGGCTGTTTGGTGGTGGCAATCTGTACTCACAAGTTACAGGCTAGCTTGAGTGAATTCCTTGTTCTGTCTGAATTATTTGCAGAGTTATTTGGTGGTTTTAAGGCTTCAACTTCTGTGAACCCTGCAGTTGTTGCAAAGCTTCGCTGATTTTCAAGAGATTGTTTCTGGTAGGGTGATAGATTGTCACTCAGTCCCTGCACCTCTATGAAGGCCAGGTTCTGGCTCTGGAGCTAAGTACTCCAAACAGAACTTCCATGAGTGAGGTGAGCTTTTAGTATGGAGTAATCTGAGCAAGATAGCTCCAGGAAGTCACCGGGGCTTCTCCAGAAAAGGGGTTTCACTACATCAACACTGGGTTTTTGAATGTTGTATATTCTTGGCATAGGAACTGGGAATACCTTTCTTGAACAGGTGCAGTCAAATTGCAGTATGTATTCATGTGGTAGATCATTATTTATGTATTGTTTACCGGGATATAAGTTTGTAAATTATTTCATTAATTATTCATTATTTTTGCATGTTTCAGAAAAAGAGTTGCAGTGTTGCAGAGCGTTCTTTCAGCTTTGGGACCCTGGCGGAGGCTGTAGAGGCTCTTGGCTCTGCAAGTGGTCAGTTTGTTCCTCAGCTGTTGCCGTTGTTCCAAGAGGGAACCCGAGATGAAGACAATGAAGTTCGTTCTAACTCCATCTATGGCCTGGGAGTCCTGGGTCAGCATGGTAAGCTTGAAATGTTATCTTTTGTTTATTATACCATCACTCATCTATTTGACATCTTGAAACATTATCCTCATTATGGTTTGGTATTTCACAAGTTACCAGTTAACCGATTCTTTCTGGGAGGTTCCTTCTCAATAGCTCAAAGTTCATTTCGGGTCGACTGAGATCCGTGCTCATCTGCCTAGATTCTGAACAAGAATTTGGTACTTATGGAACAGCGTTAATATATGTTTTTGCATTTCTTTAATCATATCTGCATATTCCATTATTTCTTTATAACCCACATTTGTACACATACCATGCCTGATATCTGCAGGTTCAGAATAGTTGTTTTGTTTGTTCTCTTGGTTTTTTCATTACTGCACTATATTGGCTCTGTAATACTATCACTTTGCGCGGCCTGTCGTGCGCGCCCCAGCCCACCTCAAGGGCGGCCTGTCGTGCGCGCCCCAGCCCACCTCAAGGGCGGCCTGTCGTGCGCGCCCCAGCCCACCTCAAGGGCGGCCTGTCGTGCGCGCCCCAGCCCACCTCAAGGGCGGCCTGTCGTGCGCGCCCCAGCCCACCTCAAGGGCGGCCTGGCGTTTTCCCGTGAGTGCGCACCCACACTAAAATGTGTATACTCTTTCCAGTATTCTGGCCTCAATGTTCGTACTACGTCATTCATTTTGGTATCAAATTGTTTGCAATAGAATTCTCTAAAGGGATATATGCATATAAGGTTAAAAAAAAAAACGGTGTGTCCCCCGCAGCAAACCCGAAGATCGGCCAAGCATTAACCGTGAGTGAGTACCTGCACTAACGTGTGTATAGTACTCTTTACAGTTTTCTCACCTCAATTTTTATGCTATGTCATTCATCTTGGTATCAAAGTGGTCACAACCAAAAGGCGCGCAGTTTAGAACTAGTCTTATCAAAATTGAACTATAAATGGAATTTTAACAAATTTCAACTTTGGATGCAACATAGTCTCCGCCGGACATTATTTATGAAGACAATATCCGCCCGCCGAAAGTGTTAGCTGTGGCTGAAGTTTCAGCTGATTTCTTTCTTAGTACAGACGACCACATGCTTTCTGAACACCATTTATCCAAATATGCCTGTTGTCCATTTTGAGGTTTCCAAATAAAATGGTTCAATTAACTGGTGGGGCAGATAATGTGAAATAAAGATGGTGAGAAGTTTGTGAAAAAGATGTGAAAGTTTGCAACTTTTGTTTGCTCCGGCCTCACCAGCACCACGCGCTCATTCGACCCACACACCTACGAACAGATGTCATCTTAAAAGTAAACTGTCATACACCAAATCGAATTTTACGATGAATTTGACGTCGTATACCAAAAACTTTGTACTCTAGGGCAGTCATCAACAGAGGTTCCTCTATGTAGTATTTACTTTATTTCCACTTTACCTTTCATTGTGCAGCCAAATTAATCATTACATAATGACAAAAATATTTGTTTAAATTGTTGCAATTTTTGTGCATCTATCTTGAGGTTATCTTGAGATGATTTCGGGGCTTTAGTGTCCCCGCGGCCCGGTCCTCGACCAGGCCTCCACCCCCAGGAAGCAGCCCGTGACAGCTGGCCAACACCCAGGTACCTATTTTACTGCTAGGTAACAGGGGCATAGGTTGAAAGAAACTCTGCCCATTGTTTCTCTCCGGCGCCCGGGATCGAACCCGGGACCACAGGATCACAAGTCCAGTGTGCTGTCCGCTCGGCCGACCGGCTCCTTATGGCTTGCATGGCCACAAAAATTACCTACATTAACCACCGTGCTGTGCTGAGTTTATTGAGAAATTCCCCCGGTGCGCATGAAATGAAGTGTTCCCAAAAAATTCTTTTTTTTTCTTCGTAAAATGGTAAATTCCCTTCCCTGAACATGTCTATGTAAAAATAAGTACCAAATTCCACTTACTTTGGCTGTAGAGACGTGGACAAGATGCGGTGTGACATCATCAGGGCCTGGTCGCCCGTGCGTGACTCGCCCAGACACGGTCGCGCGGGCCATTCAAGCACCGGGTGTTGCCACAAATATATTTTCAATTATTTGTTTTATGTATTTCCAATGCAGTTTTATTTGTTTTTTTATCGTATATGATGCATATTTGTGTCCTTTATAATATGTATACAGTAGAACGTTCATAATGTTCCATGGAACTGTGATACATGTGTCAGTAATGTGTCCACAATAAATGTTTATAGTCGCAATATTACCTGTTAAAAATTCACTAAAATTACAATATGTACAGTTTCACACACTATTTACACAGTAACACTGTATTACACACTCAGTACTTCGGAAGTGAGTAATAATCAACGAAGTAGCCCATGGTACACAGCGCGACTTCGCTCTCAGTGCACCAGGTACAGATAAATTTTTGCTTCCTGTTTCTTCATTGTGTGTGCTTGCAAATAACGCACTCACGTACACCCTTGGCTTTAGTACTTGTAGGTGGTATGTAGCCAAGCTTGTAAAGTATAAGGTAGTATTGAAAAGATTATAGGAAAAGATCAATTTGTAATGTAGTCTTGAAAAGATCGCTTTGTATGGTCCCACACAGGAAGAGATTCAGCTTACCTCAAGAGAGCTTACAACCACAGATTAGAGAACTACTTAAATTCTGTGACAAATTTTCACTCAATCAGCAGATATCGGAGCCAACGAGAAATGAAAATATTCTAGATCTGGCGCCAGATTCACGAAAGCACTTACACAAACACTTACGAGCCTGTACATCTTTTCTCAATCTTTGGCGGCTTTGTTTCCTATTATTAAACAGTTAATGAGCTCGGAAGCACCAGGAGGCTGTTTATAACAATAACAACAGTTGATTGGCAAGTTTTCATGCTTGTAAACTGTTTAATAAATGTAACCAAAGCCGTCAAAGATTGAGGAAAGATGGACACGTTCGTAAGTACTTGCGTAAGTGCTTTCGTGAATCTGGCCCCTGGTCTTTATGAACAATGAAGACATTATCAGAGACATTACGATACCAGATACCACATACTCAGATCACAAGCTCATTGAAGTGCAAACGACCATCAATACTCAGAATAGACCTAAAACGTTGATAAAGCGAGAGGGGCTATTCAGTAAATTCAATTTTAATAATAAAAGGATAGACTGGGAGATAATAAACAGGGAACTTACAAACATTCCATGGGGAACTGTTCTAAGTAATACAAGTCCTACAGAAGGAATAGAAAAACTGACTTCAGAAGCGTATCAAGTCTGTCTGAAACATGTTCCTTTGAGGAAAGCCAGAAAGAGATCTAACGTAGAAAGAGAACGCAGACGACACTATAAATGCAGGAAAAAAATAACGGAACTGCTTGTGCAGACACGAATTTCCCGTCAAAGAAGGAATAATTTAAATAGGGAGGTTGAAGAAATCGAGCGGAAATTGAAACACTCATATGAAACTGAAGAAAGGCAGTTAGAACAGAAAGCAATTCAGGAAATAAAGAAAAATCCAAAATATTTCTTCTCATGCGAAATCAAAAGCAAAAACCACTGCCCGTATTGGACCTATTCGTACAAGTGAAGGTTCATACACGGAGGATGACAAAGAAATTAGTGAAATCCTAAAAAAGCAGTATGAGGACATGTTTAGCACTCCAATAAACAACATGAAGGTGGAAGATCCAGACAATTTCTTTATGCGGGATATTCAAACCCCTGCAAATATAACTGATATAAACACGAGCGCACTAAATTTTGAAAGAGAAATTGAAAACATGCCCATGCACTCGGCCCCAGGTCCAGACTCATGGAATTCAATATTTATAAAGAAATGCAAAGTGCCGGTAGCACAGGCACTCAGTATAGTGTGGAGGAAGAGCTTGGACACGGGGGAGATACCAGATGCACTTAAAGTAGCAGACATAGCCCTTCAACACAAGGGAGGGAGCAAAGCATTGGCAAAGTATTATAGACCAGTTGCACTAACATCGCACATCATAAAAGTATTTGATAGAGTGATTAGGAGTCAGGTCACCAATTTCATGGAGACCAATGACCTTCACAACCCAGGCCAACATGGATTTCGAGCGGGAAGATCGTGCCTCTCACAGCTACTTGAGCACTACGACAAAGTCACTGAGGCATTATAAGAAAATCAGAATGCTGATGTGATATACACGGACTTCGCAAAGGCTTTCGATAAATGTGACCATGGCGTGATAGCACACAAAATGAAGTCAATGGGAATAACCGGTAAAGTAGGACGCTGGATACTCAGTTTTCTGTCAAACAGGACTCGGCGAGTAACGGTCAACCATATAAAATCTAGTCCAAGTGCAGTTAAAAGCTCTGTACCTCAGGGTACAGTCCTTGCACCGCTGCTTTTCCTTATTCTCATATCAGATATAGACAAAAATACAAGTCACAGCTTCGTATCATCCTTTGCAGATGACACAAAAATCAGTATGAAATCAGTATTACCTCGGCTGAAGACATAGAAAAAATTCAAGCTGATATTAATAAAGTTTTCGACTGGGCATCAGAAAAATAACATGATGTTTAACAGTGATAAATTCCAGGTACTCGGGTACGGTAAAAATGAGGACCTTAAACATAATACAGAGTACAAAACACAATCAAATGTACCCATAGTAGGAAAACAGCATGTAAAGGATTTGGGAATAATAGTCTGACGACCTAACGTTTAAGGAGCATAACCAAGCAAATATTGCGACAGCCAGAAAAATGATAGGATGGATTACGAGAACTTTCAAATCCAGGGATCCCATCACAATGGTTGTACTCTTCAAGGCACTTGTGTTGTCCCATCTTGAGTACTGCTCAGTACTCACTTGTGTGGAGAGATTGCTGAAGTAGAGGGAATACAGAGAACATATACGGCACGCATAGACGCAATAAAGCACCTAAATTATTGGGATCGTCTCAAAGCCCTCCAAATGTACTCACTAGAAAGAAGACGAGAGAGATATCAAATAATATACACCTGGAAGATACTGGAGGGCCAGGTACCAAAT